CAAAATAAATAAGTAAATAAAACAATTTTTACCCATAGGACTGTAAATCTGAGTTTCCTCTGAAACTGCAGAACACAGAAAATTATTTGAGTGACTACTTTCTTAGTTCTCCCAAAAGATGATCTAGAGCTAGTATCATTCAAGATTATCAGGGAGAAATTAATTGCATATCAAGGGTGTCTAGGACATTCAACGAGTGCACTCAGAAAGATTAGACAGAGCATATAATTGACAAGAAATACTTTTTTCCCCAATATATTTTTTTTCCTTTGGGGACTATACCTCAAGCTATTTGAGCCATCTCTGCAATCTCATTTTTCCATATTTTAGATTTGCTTAAGTTGTATAGGGGATTCTTTGCTTTGAGTTTTCTTTTTTTGTTTGCTTTGGGGGCCACACCCAATAGTGCTCAGGGCTTTCCCCTGACTCTGCACTCAGGGGTCACTCCTGGCGAACCTAGGTTGGCAGTGTGTAAATTAAGCACCTTCCCACTGTAAAATCACTCCAGCCCCAGATTTTAAAAAATAATCACTATCACTATCACCCCGTTGTTCATCTATTTGCTCGAGCGGGTGCCAGTGACGTCTCCATTCATCCCTGTCACGTGATAGTGTAGCCCAATAGCATATTGGGGGCTCTTTCAGGGTCAGGGGAATGAGGACCATCATTGTTACTATTTTTGGCATATCAAGTATGCCACGGGTAGCTTGCCAGGCCCTGCCGTGTGGGTGGGATACTCTCGGTAGCTTGCTGGGCTCTCCGAGAGGGATGAAGACTTTTGGGGCAGCCTCTAATCACCTTTACAGGTGTTCCCAGTCAGGCATATATGCAGGCAGGATACTCTCCGTAGCTGAAAATTTTATTTGGGGCCCAGAAAAATAGTACAGCAGGCAGGGCATTTGCCTTCCTTGCAGCTACCCTGGGTTTGATTCCTGGCATCCCATATGATCCCCAGGTACTGCAGGAGTAATTCCTGAGTGCAGAGCCAGGAGTAACACTCAAGCATCACTGGGTTTGACCCAAAAAGAAAAAACAAAATTTTATTTTATTTTTGGGGGTCACACCTAACAATGCTCAGGACTTACTCCTGGCTCTGCAGTCAGGGATCACTCCTGGCTGTGTTCAGAGAACCATATGCGCTGCCAGGGATCAAACCTGGGTCAGTTGTGTGCAAGGTCTTACCTCCTGTACTGTTGCCTCCAGCCCCAGTATTGAAATTTTAACATCTTAGAATCATGCTTTGAAAGTCTTTCATCAACTAGTATTATGTATTTGACTAAACTTTTCTGATACTTGAAAGTTTTTCATATTTGTTTTGCCAATTTTTATTTGGGGGTCAGATGACTGAGGGGCCATTCCTGGTAAGGGTGATACTTGTCCAACTGGGCTGGACGTTTTAGTACTTGCACCTGGCAGTGCTGAGGGCTACCAGGCCACAGCCAGTGATGCTGGGGTGGGCACAGAGCCTGAGTTGTGTCGAGGTTGAACCTCAGTACTGGTGCAGGCTTGCCATGTATACCTGACAACTGAACTATATTTCTAGCCTTAACCTGTGTACCCATTTCTGTGGACAGGTTTTTTTCCCTTTTTTAAAAAATTTGGCTACACTTGACAGTGCTTGGGGATTAGTCCTGACTTTGCCTTCAGGGATCACTCCTGGTGGTCCTCAGGGAACCATAGTGGGGTGCTGGGATCGTGGGGTACTGGGATCAAACTTGTCAGCCACATTCAAGGCAAATGCTTTACCCACTGTACTGTCTTTCCAGCCTATGGCTCAATATTCTAAAACTTGGTTATCAAAAGGTATCTTTCAGTATTGGATTCGTTTTAAAATTTTTATAGAGGTCACTACTGGTGTGGTGGTACAGGGCTGGTGTACTCAGATACCACCAGGTCTATACCCAACGGGGCTCTGGGGGCCATGTACTAGGGATTGCACCCAAGGCCTCGTGTGCTCAGCTCCTGCTCTGTACTCTATTACCCTAGTCCCTATAGGAGTCCTCACAGTAGAACTATTTGAGGTATTTGAGTTTACATTTTAGGTAGCCTTTGCCAAATTGTTAAAAACAGTTCTTTCTTTTTTTCTTTGGTTTTTGTTTTGCTTATACTTTAGGTTTGCTTATTCTTTAGTTCAATTGACTGGCAATTATTTGTTTGTTTTTGGTTTTGGGTCAACCTGGTGGTGCTCAGGGCTTACTCCTATCTCTGCGCTCAGGTTTTGACTCCTGGTGGGCTATGGCGACCGTATGGGATGTGGGGATCCAACCAAGGTTAGCTGCATGCAAGGCAAGCACCCTACCCTCTTGACTATCCTTCTGGCCCCGATTGACTGGCAACTCTTGAATATTCAAATTATAGGCCTAAAAGTAATTATATACACATACACACACACACACGTGTGTGTGTGTATATATATATGTATATATGTGTATATATATATATATATATATATATAAAGAGCTTTACCTGAAATTTTCTGTGTTCTTTGCATTCGAGGGTCTTTGTCATTTTATTGTTGTAAGAGCAGTATCTGATGACAGTTTTGATATTATAAAGGAGATAAAATCGATCATTCCTTCTGATGAAATAACCTTCAAATCTTGAAATCCTGTTTCTCATTATAAGAGTTTCATAGGTTCTGGCAAAACTTAGAAGAACAAAACAATTCAATGAAAGTCAAAATGCTTTATAGCTTGTCCTTTTTATTATTGCTTTAGTGGCTTTGTCCTTTTAATTATACCATACTTCAAAACAATTTGAACCTCAATCCTTAGTGTCTTTGATTTTGTTGATGAAGTTTTCTAAAATACACTTTAAAATCTCTGTTCTGCTAGATCAAGATCTGTTTTCTCTAACTACAAAATAATCACCGTTATTCATCAAAAGTAATGATTGCTTTGCATCAAAATACCCATACCTATTGAAAGACTAATTCAGTCACCTTTGTTTTAACTAGAATCTATACCTCTCACCTGACAGGTTCCTACCTCCCCCCCTTTTTGGTGGGGAGCTATACCCAGCAGTGCATAGGGCTTGTTCCTGTCTCTGTGCTCACTCCTGGCAGGGGTCACTCCTGGCATGGGATGCCAGGGATCAAACCTGGGCCAGCCATGTGCAAGGCAAATGCCCTCCCTACTATAGTCTCACTATTTTAAACCTGACAATTTCATATTGAGCAAATGTGCTTAGTTTCTAAAAGATTTACCAAGATTTTGCCATGAATTTAAGAATTAATATTCCTATGCTGCTCACTGTATCACTTATGCTCTGGTCATAAGTCATAAACAAGTATAAATATAGTGTCTTCATATAATATTTACAGTATACATTTGATAAACCAAGTAAACTTGTGTTGGCACCTTTTATAAAGGATAAATGCAGTACTTAGTAAAATGAACAAACTTGAGCTTGAAATAAAACACATGTAAAGAGCCCTTTGAAAGGATGGTTCTGTTTTCTAGTTAAATTTTGCGTTCTGTTTCATATTCAAGTCTAATAGCATAATTAATTTTGAATATTTTCTCACAGATTTACATGTAAATATCAACAGACAGACCCTTGCCACTTGTGTGAAGTGGCTATTTAGCCATGAAATAAACTATTTCTATTGCCTTTGCCCTGTGGAGATGTTCTTTCTGGCAGCGTTTTCCATATTTGGTGGCTGTGCGCAGAGAGCCAGGTGGTGCTGAGAAGCATCGCACAGTGAAGCGTGGATATGTCTAGGCTGGACATTTGTCATCCCTCACTGCTGAAGGGAAGGGTCAAATCTGTTTTTCCATATGTTGATGCTTCCTTTTTTTTGCCTGCAGTTCTGCCCAGATGGTCTCATGAACATTGTTTACTTTAGGATGCTCTCCCAGATGTTCTGAAAACTGATGGATAAATGTGCTGCACAGATATATAAATGATTGGCATGTTCTGACTTTAAAGTGCTGTTCTTGTTAGATTAAGATGCAGTTTGTGTCTCAGGGTATTTCCCAAGTTAAAATATATAGCCATCGGGGCCAAAGCAGTAGTACAGAGGGGAGGGCGTTTGCCTTGCATGTGGCCAACGTAGGTTCGATCCCCGGTATCCCATATGGTCCCCCAAGCACTGCCAGGAGTGATTCCTGAGTGCAGAGCCAGGAGTAATCCCTGAGCATCTCTGGGTGTGACCCAAAAAGCAAAATATCTATATATCTATACATCTATATCTAAGCAATATACCTCTATCTATCTATCTATCTATCTATCTATCTATCTATCTATCTATCCAGGTGGTTTTGTTATTGTTTGCTTTTGGGGGGGCCACACCTGGCGATGCTCAGGAGTTACTTCTGGCTCTGCACTCAGAATCACTCTTGGTGGTACTCAGGGGACCATATGGGATGCTGGGGATTGAACCCAGATCAACTGTGCAAGGAAAGTGCCTTACCCTCTGTACTGTCTCTCTGACCCCAGCCATGTATTTTTTTATTTAAGGTATTTCGTAAATTTGGGTTTGTTCTTGTTTTGTTTCTTCTATTTCTTCACATTATTTTCTTACTCAAATTGTCCCAGGTTGGACCAGTGGGAATCTTCAAAAATGGCATTCATGTAATTTGACCTACTCAGTACTTCATTATCTTGAGCACTTTCTTATTTTCTGGCACAGCAGAAATATATAGACTCCTATTGTCTCTTTGCTGCACCAGGTTTAGATTTAACCTTTTCTTCAGGGATTCTTCATTTCCTTTAGTGAAAAATGGAATGTAGAAACAAAGATCTGGATATTTCTACCTTTAAGACAATTTATTCTTTCATTTTTATTTTTAAATCTATCTGGAATTTTTTTACAGTGTGGTATGAGGTACAAATGTGTATATTAAAATGATTTAAAATTAATTGCGTTTGCAATAAGATGCAAAATGACATTTATGTTCATCTTCTCACCCTTCAGGGGAAATCTTGCTTAATTTTATTAGTTATATTGTTTATATTTAACTTTGTGTCTCGCATCAATTATGTTTTCTCCAAAATAGGTGCAGTCTCTAGAATCATAAAACTTTGTGAAGAAAAATGTGAAATAGGTGAAAAGAAGAAGGGAAGAAAAGGCAGCAGTGTAACATCTATAAAAGGAATTACAAATTTAGGAAATACTTGCTTTTTTAATGCAGTCTTGCAGGTAAGAACTAACAGAACTTTATTAAATGTAAAATGCTATTTTGATTGATTTATATTTATTGGCATGCTTGTAGAATATCAGGTTACTGCAAAATGCTTCTCTCGAAATATCTATCTTTTGCTTCTTCTCGCTCTCTCTCTCTTTTGTCTCTGCAGTGAATGGTTTTGCATATGCAAGGCACCTGGTGGTGTTCCAGGCCTACTCCCAGCTCTGTCCCTGGTGGTCACCCCTGAATGTTCAGGTGACCATGCAGGCCAGAGATCAAGCCCACACTTCACTGAATGCAAATCATGTTGCTCCAGCCTGCTAGCTGCTTCTTCAACCCTCTGTTTGTTGTTGTTTTGTGTTCTGGACCACAACTAGCAGTGTTCAGGAGTTACTTCTGACTCTGCACTCAGGAATTATTCCTGGTGGTGCTGAGGGGACCATATGAGATGCTGGGGATTGAACCTGGGTTGACTGTGCACAAGTTAAGCATCCTACCTGCTGTAATAGCCCCATGATTTCAGACTTTCTTTAGCCATTGTTATACACATACTTACATGTCTTTTTCCCCCCAACAGTGCTTCTGAGTGATCTGTTTTAATGTTATTTAATAAGTAATAAGTAGTTCTATTGATCAAATATAAGATCTAGTTAAATTGTTGAAAACTTAAAAAAAAATCTCACTATGCTGTATTTGAAATTTGAAACTGGGAGAGAGTTAAATACTCTGTAAAATCATAGACATATTATAACCAAATCAGAAAACTTTACTTTTTCTTTCTTTCAGAACTTGGCACAGTCTTACATTCTTACTGAGCTGATTAATGAGATCAAAGAAAATGGTACAAAACTCAAGATTTTTCCTTCCTCAGATTCTCAGCTGGTAAGAAGTAAAAATTGGGTAATAATATTTCAGACAGACCATTGATATTATTGGAATCTGTTTTTTTTTCTGTTTCTCAGAACTGTCAACTAAGATGGTAGTTGGCAGACTTGAAAATTAATTCAAAGCAATTTATAAAATAAGCGATCAGGGCTGGGAATGTGGCTGAACTGGTAGAGGACATACCTTGCATGTGCAACCTGGATGTGGCCCTATCCCCATTCCAATCCTTCCCTAGCCCTTTTCCCAGTACCACTGGGAATGCCTGACCTGGAGCTCCTAAAAAATCCCCCAGGATCCCCTTAGCCCCTGTAAGAAAATCAGCAAATATTATCAGATTTAAAAGTTCTAAAATCATGGAGGTTGGAGTGATAGTATAGCAGATAGGGAGTTTGCTTTGCATGAGACCAACTCAGGTTTGATCGTTGGTATCCTGTATGGTCTCATGAACCTGCCAGGAATGATATCTTGAGTGCAGAGCCAGAAGTAAGCCCTGAGCAGAGCCGGGAGTGGTTCAAAACCCCCAAAAAGTTCTAAACTAATTAAATGTTTTGAGCTATTAGGGTTCATATGGGGGAAGGGGGCTTGCCTTTTATTTGTTTATTTTTAAATGCACTTTGACTTCTGTTGAACAAAATGTTTAGGATGCTTATTTTATAGTTAGTGGAGAGATCTGCTTCAGTAAAGCATTTTTGTTCTCTAAAGGTAGAGTTAATTTTTATTTTTGAAAGCGGCCTGTTCATTAGGCCTGCACCCAGCACTACCTCAGGTGGTGCTGAGTGGAGTGGGGATGGGGTTATAGTGCTGAGACGCTTATTTGAGGTTTTGTGCATGTAAGGCTTTTGGTCCTGACCACTGGGCTCTCCTAGCCTTTGTAGAATTAATTTTAATAATGAGCATCTGAGGAGCTTTTGAAGCTCTACTCTTATGGTTTTGATTTTTTTTTTTTAAGCTAGTGAAAAAGAAGAATTTAAAAAGAACAGTCTGACTTTCAGAAGCTGTCCCAGCACCCACAGGCATTTGTTATTCAGACATGCTAACAAAATACCAACCTCAGGCTAGATAACTGAAAATGGAGCCCAAGCAAGCCATTTCATAATTTTTTTCTCAGCACAGACAAAAAAACGTTACTCTGTCACTTGTTCTATCCCACATACCCTCTCACTTGGCCCAAATAAATGACGACATTTTACCAATATTAGCTTTAATCTTCATTCACATCTCCCTCATCAATAGTGTTTATCAAGACATGCATACAGTCTCTCCTCACTTTCTAATAGCATCCAGCCAAGAGCACACCCACCTCCCTAGAGTCTCCCCGCAGTTACCCAAAGCTGAAATCCTGTGTGGATTCTTTCTCATTCTCCCAGTGATATCCTGAGGTTCCCAGTGTGTGTGTCTTCCCTCGGTGTAACAAGTAATAAACCTTCGTTCAACGACAGATGTGTTAATGGTGGTGGTTTGCCTGAAGGTGTTAAAACTGAAATAATGATTTCAGTCAAAAATTGTTCGATGTGTATGTTTTACAGGGTAAGAAGAGCATGTAGAACTCATGACCTGCCTTTTAAAAACACTTAAAGAATTCTAAAAATTCTTGGTCCATTATAACCATGTTAGATTTGTATCGCCATGGAGGCAGCTTTGGTAGTACACTTTTTAAAACTTTTTGTTAATATAAATTAGAAAGTATTTGTACAGAAATGCATATATCATAACTGAATTAGCTAATTAATTTCCACACACTGAACAGAAACTATTTTATTCCAATAATTTGCTCAAGAAATATTACCAGAGACTAGAAACACCCATCAGATTGTTTTCCATTCAATACCTCCCTTGCCCAAAGGACAGCCTCTAATCTAATTTCTATAGGCCATTTACATGTTTCCTATTTTATGTATATCAATGAAATTATACTGTCTTTTGCATTTGACTTGTCAACAGAGATTCATCTATATTATGTTCTCATCAGAAAACTTATTTCCAAAGCTTCAGTGTGTATTAAAAATATTTAATTTCTTCTTTGAATTCTGGAGATTTTCACCTTGTTTAAAAATGCTGTGACCGGTAGTAGGAAATCCTTGTATTTAAGTGCTTGGACTCCAATACCGCCATAGATTTTACTTTTGACCTTTGAGATAGTTTATTTTCAGTTTACTCAATATTGCAGAGAATTCTTTAGATATTAAGAAGCTAGGCGGAATTTTTTTTTTTTAATTTATTTATTTATTTATTGAATCACTGTGGGAAAGGTTACAAAGCTTTCAGGTTTATGTCTCAGTCATGCAAATATCAAACACATTTCCCTTTACCAATACTTATTTTTTACCATGAAGAACCCCAATAAAACCCCACCCCCCACCCCTCCCCGTCCCTGTGAGGCAGATGAATTCTAGTTAACACTCTATCTGCTTTGATTAGATTCATTGTTTCAATAAAAGATTCACCACTATTATTTAGAGTTTACCCCCCCCAAATCAGACATGCTGAAAAAGCATTGTGAAGTGATTTGCTTTCTACAGCTGGGTTCAAGAATTAAATGTTGGTTTTGGATTTCTGCTATTTTACCTATTGACCCTGGAAGTATTTCTACTGAAAGTCAGATAGTTAAAAAATTGGTTTCTGTGTTCTGGAGTCGTGGCCATGGTGGAGAGCCTCTCGCGGGGGGGACCGGTGGCCTCGGTAGGGCGTGAAGGGCGGAGCGAAACGCCCCCCTTCCCATGAGGTTTTAGTCGCCCCTACACTCCCGGCTCATACCTGCTGTCCACAAGGCTCCCATGTGGCCGCCATCTTTCTTTCCAGAGGGAGGGGGGCGGAAGGGAGCAACACCCTTTCCCCTCCGGGCAGACATGATGGCCTGGATTAACGCATAGTCCTTTCACTTTTCTGCTCCAAGCTGCTGGGTTCTGCATCAGGTCATTGTGCTTCTGGGGCTGTGGCCGTGCTGGAGAGCCGCTCGTGGGGGCAACTGGTGGCCTCGGTAGGGCGTGAAGGGCGGACCGGAACGCCCCCCTTCCCATGAGGTTTTAGTCGCCCCCACACCCCCGGCTCATACCTGCTGTCCACAAGGCTCCCATGTGGCCGCCATCTTTCTTTCCAGAGGGAGGAGGGCGGAAGGGAGCAACACCCTTTCCCCTCCGGGCAGACATGATGGAGCTAGGCGGAATTATAACCTGTTCTTTCTATGGTTTTAGCTGATGGCATTTTATTTTTTTTGTTTTGGGGCCACCCCCGGCGGTGCTTAGGGCTTCCTCCTGGCTCTATGCTCAGGGATCACCCCTGGTGGGGCTTGGGTACCATATGTGGTGCCAGGGACCAACTCCAGGTCTGTCTACAAAACAACTGCCCTAATGGCTATCCTATCACCTGCGCCCCAGAAGTTGTCCTGAAATTATATTTGGGATCTCATTTTAATTCATTGTTTTAAAGAGAGGGTATTATGGTAAAAATAACATGTATGTATGTGTGATTTCTAGAAATCTTCTCTACCACATAGGGACTATATTTAACAGTAAAATCGTGTGTACTAAGGAATTGTTAAAAGTAGATCTCAAGGCAAGCATTCTTAATACACACACGCATCAAAAGGCAGGGATAATAGGAAACTCTTAGAGATTATAGAGATGGAGGAGAGAACTTCACATACATATTTGGGTAAGCAGATACCCAAATATTTCAAGTTGTACTTCATATATTGAGCTCTTAGATATATTGATATATCTAATATATCAAGTTGTACTTGATATATTGATCTCATAGATAATTGATCTCCACACAATTCTAGCTGCTTTGTTAAACTTTGTTTCCAACAGAAGGACATGTGCCAATTTTGTGACATAATCTCATCATTAGTAAAATGTTTGAAGAAAAGGATGCTGGGACAAAAATGTGATTTGTGATTTGTGAAGATATACTGATACCAAGTAGATGATGAATTCTACTTCTCAGAGAGCTCATTGAGGGACAGTTAGTTGCAAATAAGTAAAGGTTGGTGATTTCACTCTTTGTGATTTCACAGGTAGTAGTTTTAAGTAAAAGGTGGGGGCTATGAGAATACCATTTTTTCAGGCAAGGCATTTAATCTCATTTTTCAATTTTATATATTCATTTTGTGCATGAGTAAAGTTTCTTAATATCCTTGAGATAATTTATTGTTCATCATTTAAATAAAGTATAATTTGTAGGTTCTAAGTATTTTAAAATTGTATGTCTGACATAGAATTGATCATGTTTTTAAAGGACCCACTAGTGGTGGAACTTTCCAGCCCTGGACCACTGACCTCAGCCTTGTTCCTGTTTCTTCAGAACATGAAGGAGATGGAAAAAGGGCCACTTTCTCCCAAAGTTCTTTTTAATCAGCTTTGTCAGAAGTGGGTGCACCTATGTTCTTAATATAAGTAATTGAGTTACAAAATACTAACGCATGTATACTTAATGAGTAGTTTTTACTTACTGTTATATTGCAATTATTGCTTAGTTTTTCAAGAGAAAGAATATTTGTTGCACATCTGCTTCATATAAATTATGTCTCATAATATTCTATAGAAGTTATTTGTTTATACTCATGTGATATGTAAGGTACTTGAGGCTAATAAAAGTTGAGGGCCTTGCCTAGTTGACATGACAGAGACAGGATTTAAAGGTCTCGCCTTACTTGGAAGACCTTATTGTAGTATTACTGTGAAGTGAAAAACTGAGCCGTAAGAATCTAAATGGTGTTCTAATAGGTCATTTAACCTAGCTTCATTATTTTGAAGAATGAACTTGAGACGAGTAAATTTTAAGCTTAATTTTTTTTTCAAGATATAGACCTCTTTAAAAATTTCCTGTGCCTGGAAATAAGTACATAACAGAAACAGTATGACTTTATGCACTGTTTAATTCCTAATCTTGAAAATTGATAAAGCAAAATCGGTGTTTGCTTTTGTTGTGTTTGCTAGAATCCAGGGATGCACAATACATAATATATTAAAAATGTACTTTGTCAGGGATCCCATAGGCTATTCTAGTTCACATAAAATACATAGAAACATTTTATAATAGGTGCTTTTATATATGCTGGCTATAAAATCTCGATTTAAGTGAGGTTATGTTTGCCAGGGTGTATTACTTGATTGATAATTTCAGGAACTCAGGCCATACCCAGTGTGCTGGAAAGGGTGGACACTTCATCAGGCTTGGCTTCCACATGAAGGTCCTGATCGTTCAGTGTCTGGGTCCCACCAGAACTAGCCCCAGTGGTACTGTGGGGTGCGGGGTACGTCGTGCCAGACCTCAGACCCAGGGCTTCGCACATACTTTGCATTTTTGTCTACACTTGATTTCAGAGCTCCCTGGCCCCTATTTTTCATTTGTTTGTTTGTGGGTCATACCCAGCAGTGCTCTGGGGCAACTCCTGACTCTTGTTCATATCCAGTGTGCTCTTGGCCCATTAAACTATCTTTCTGCTCCCACAGATCCTATATTTATTCTTTTTCACTTATTGTTTTATAATGTGCTATCGCTCCACATTATAAAACAATAAGTGAAAAATTAAATTTTTGTTTTTCTTTGTTGTGGAGAGAACTCCTGAGATTTACTTTTTTTTGGGGGGGAGGGGTCATACCCGGCAATGCTCAGGAGTTACTCCTGGCTCTGTACTCAGTAATTACTCCTGGCAGTGCTCGGGGGACCATATAGGATGCTAAGAACCGAACCTGGGTCAGACGCGTGCAAGGCAAATGCCCTACCCACCATGCTATCACTCCAGCCCCGAGATTTACTTTCTTTAAAATGTTTTAAATTGTATTAATTTATTGTTGGTTATAGTTCTCATGTTCAGTTGCAGATCTCCAGAGTTTGCTCATTTTCCTTGACTGAACCTTTTTTCCTAGTGAGCATCATTTCCTCTTTTTCTTCCCCCAAACTCCTGACAACTGCCATTCTACTCTTTGACTCCATGAATCTGGAGATTTTAGATCCTTCCTATTGGTGGATTGATAAATATTTGTCCTATTTCACTTAGTTTAGTGTCCTGGTGGTTTATTTTTAGTGTTAATAAGTTTGTAATATGGGGATGCATGCAATAGTAGGGTTGAACACTAGACAAACATTTTAAGGGAAAGAGAATTTTGTTTTGTTTGTAGTGTTTTAAATTAGTCCAAAATATGGATGGGTCTGGGGAGATAGCACCAGAGTTCGTGCCTGGATTATGGAGACCTGGAGTTTGATTCCTGGCACTGCATGGTCCCTGAGCACATCAGTGTGCCCCTGGTGACCTGCAGCATCGCTGGGCCCAAGCAGTACCAGGTCACGTATCACCAGGTGTGGTTCATAAACTCCTAGAGTACCACCCAGGAACCCCCAACTACCACCATATTGACCCGCAAAATGAAAACACAAATGCAGAGGATTTATTTTGTGTTTCATCTAGTTGGCACATACGTTCTTTTAAAGCCTGAAATACAAAAATTTCCCTTGAAAGTCTCAGATGTATTGGTGCTGTGTGTCAAAGGGTTCAAAAGTTTTTGGGACATTGTATGTTTTTTTTTGGGCAGTGGAATGGGGCTTGGGCCACAGTCAGCAGAACTCAGAGCTTACTCCAGACACGGTGCTCAGGCATTACTCCTGGTGGTGTTTTGGAGACCATATGTGGTCACACTGGGTTTGGTGGCATTGCAAGGCAAAGTACCTTAACCCCTATCCTATTGCTCTGACCTAAAGACATTATATGTTTTAGAAATTTGTTTTTGATAGGCTGGAGAGATGGTACTTAACCTTGCACACAGCTGACCGAAGTTCATTCCCTGCCACTCCATATAGTCCCCTGAGCACCGTCAGCAGTGACCCCTGAGCACAGAACCAGGAGTATGACCTGAGCACCCAACCCCACTATCTAGATTTTTAAAAATTTTACTTTATTCTGTCCTTTGTGTTCTGTACCTTTGATCTTATCTTAATTATGATAATCTTTTTTTTTGTTTTTGGTTTTTTGAGTCACACCTAGCGATACTCAGGGGTTACACCTGGCTCTGCAGTCAGGAATTACTCCTGGCGGTGCTGGGGGGACCATATGGGATGCCAGGGATCGAACCCTAGCTAACCGCATGCAAGGCAAATGCTCCAGCCCACTCATGATTTTTTTTTTTAATTTTATATTTTGCTGGATGGCTACATGCAAAAAAATGGGCTCAGATCTCTGCCTAACACCATGTACAAAAGTAAGATCAAAATGGATTAAAGACCTCAACATCAGACCGGAATCCATAAGGTACATTGAAAACAAAGTTGGCAAAACCCTCCATGACATTGAAGCTAATGGTATCTTCAAAGATGTCACACCACTGACTGAGCAAGTGAAAACTAAGATAGACAAATGGGACTATCTCAAACTAAGAAGCTTCTGCACGTCAAAAGAAACAGTGACCAAAGTACAAAGACAGTCTACAGAATGGGAAAGGATATTTGCCCAATACACATCTGACAAGGGGTTGATATAAAGGATATACAAAGTACTGGTTGAACTCCACAAGAAGAAAACATCCAACCTCATCAAAAAATGGGGCAATGAAATGAATGGAAAATTTCTCAAGGAAGAAATCCGAATGGCAAAAAGGCACATGAGAAAATGCTCTACATCATTAATCATCAGGGAGATGCAGATCAAAACCATAATGAGATATCATCTCACACCACAGAGACTGGCCCACATCCAAAAGAGGAAAAGCAACAGGTGTTGGCGCAGATGTGATGAGAAAGGGACCCTCCTGCTGGTGGGAATGCTGACTGGTTCAGCCCTTTTGGAAAACAGTATGGACACTTCTCAAAAAATTAGAAATTGAGCTCCCATTTGACCCAGCAATACCACTCCTGGGAATATATCCCAGAGAGGCAAAAAAGTATAGTCGAAGTGACATCTGCACTTGTTTGTTCATTGCAGCACTCTTTACAATAGCCAGAATCTGGAAAAAACCTGAGTGCCTGAGAACAGATTACTGGTTAAAGAAACTTTGGTACATCTACACAATGGAGTACTATGTAGCTGTTTTTACATACAACTGGTACTACATGGAAAGTATCATGTTAAGCAAAATGAGTCAGAAAGAGAGGGACAGACATAGAAAGATTGCATTCATCTGGGGGACATAAAGTAACAAAATAGAAGACAAACACCCAAGAACAGCTGAGATAAGTACCAGGAGGTTTACTCCATGGCTTGGAGGTCAGCCACACATGCTAGGGGAAAAGGCAGCTCAGATAGAGAAGGGAGCACCAAATAAGGGTGTTAGGAAGATCTGCCCAAGATGGGAGAAGCATGCTGAAAGTAGACTATAGACTGAACATGATTGCCACTCAGTGCCTCTTTTGCAAACCACAGCACCCAAAAGGAAAGAGAGAACAAAAAGGAATGCCCTGCCACAGAGGCAGGGTGGGATGGGGGGGGGGGGGGGCGAGAGGGTGGGAGGGATACTGGGATCCGTGGTGGTGGAAAATGGGCACCAGTGGAGGGATGGGTACTTGATAATTGTATAATTGAAACCCAAGCCCAAGCACAAAAATTTGTAAGTCTACAACTGTACCTCATGGTGGTTCACTAATAAAAATTAAAAAAAAAATTATGTTTTGGTTTTTAAGTCACATCTGGCAGTGCTCAGGGGATACTCCTGGTGGTGCTGGGGATTGAATCCAGGTCAGCTGCATGCTAGGCAAGTGCCGTTCGTACCCACTGTCCTGTCTCTCTAGCCCTATTTTTTAAATTTCTTGTCTGACAGTGCCCAGAGTCTACTTCCAACTTGATACTTGGGGGTCTGTTGTAGCTGCAATGCTTTGGGAATTCTGAGATATAGGACATCGAACCCAAGCCTTGTGCATGAAAAGTGTGTGTTCTGGGGACCAGAGCAAAAATAGAGCAGGTTGTGCATTTGTCTTGTACCCGGCTGACCTTGGTTAGATGCTTGGCATCCTGTATGGTCCCCTGAGCCCTGCCAGGTGTGATTCCTGAGTGCAGAGCCAGGAGTAAGCCTGGAGCATAGCAGGTGTACCCTACCACTCCTCAACCCCCCCAAAACAAATAGAGAATTGTGCTTCAGCTCTCTGAGCTATCTCCTCAGCCCCTGTTTTTACTGTTTTTAACTGTCTTTCAATATCTTCATGCTCTTGTTTATTCTTGACTCTAATTTTGTCTTTCATTGTCAATTATTACCTTTATTTTATGTGTTTGAATATTTGGAACACGCTTATTTTTAGCATCTTTTGTGACAGTTTTGGAGTGAAGTAAATTATTTTGTTGAGTATTTTAACATTGAATTTATTTATAGTTGTTTTGTTTTGTTTGGGGGCCACTCCCACCAGTGCTCAGAGCTTGCTTATGGCTCTGCACTCTGGCTTGGGGGAACATATGGGATGCTCAGGATTGAACCCCAGGCATCCACATGCAAGACAGGTGACCTACCTTTCTTACTTTTGCTCCAGTTCCCTTATTTATGACTTTTATAGTATTGGTTTGTGGAACTCTTGTAGTCACTGTCACTGCTGTAACTGTCCTCCCGTTGTTGTTCATCGATTTGCTCGAGTGGGCCCAGTAACGTCTCCATTGGAGACTTTGTTGTTACTGTGTCTGGCATATCGAATAGGACACGGGGAGCTTGCCAGGCGCTGCCGTGCGGGCGAGATACTCTCGGTAGCTTGCCGGGCTCTCTGAGAGGGGCGGAGGAATCGAACTCGGGTCAGCCATGTTGGCTGCGTGCAAGGCAAATGCCCTACCCACTGTGCTATTTCTCTGATTTTATTTTGTTCTCCCTGTCTTTGCACACACTGTGCTCTCCTTTTCCCTCTACCCTTTTCCCACCCCAGCTGTTGCTTCCCTCCTCCTTTGCCTCTCTCCTTTCTGCTTAAGATCTAAAAATAAAGGCCTGGGGGCAGGGAGGCATTGCCTTTCCCTAGCCCACCTTCCTGACCTTGGAGATCCAGGTCTCTCTATAGCTGAGAACCACAATGGTTTGGGGGGCTCGCAAAGAGTCTGTTCTGAGGCTTTGTCTGTTCTGTTGAATCTTTAGACTGTATTTGCCAGACTTCCTTTTAGAGCCTGGCCTGGTCCCTGTCTGAGGTTAAATGCTTACAGCTTTTTCTACTGTACAAGGTTGAATGAGCTTTTTCGGGCCAGTGGCCTGTCAAGTCTGTCTGGGTTTTTTTTTTTTTTTAATTCCCTCCCTCATCCTACAGTTTTGTGTTCTGATTTTTCTTTGAGTGATTTGTTTTGTGTTGGAATCTACTTTGATAGTTCCATTTCTCTCTTTTTCCTTTCTTTCTTTGGATTTAAAAAAAATTCTTTGTGGGGCTGGAGCAATAGCACAGTGGGTAGGGCGTTTGCCTTGCACGCAGCCAACATGGCCAACACAGGTTTGATTCCCAGCACCCCACATGGTCCCCTGAGCACCGCCAGGAGCAATTCCTGAGTGCATGAGCCAGGAGTAACCCCTGAGCATTGCCGGGTGTGACCCAAAAAGCAAAAAAAAAAAAAAAAAAAAAAAAAAAATTTCTTTGTATTTTGTTCATCAGACTGATTCAACTTCTCCTATAAGACCTCTCCACAAATTTTCTCTTGTTCTAAATTTCTTTTTGGTGGTTCATTCCCATTTTATGAGTGTGCGTACATTTTCTTCTTATAACTTGAGATTTTGGAAAGCTATCCAGTAATACTCAGGGGTTACTCCTAGCTCTGCACTCAGGAATCACTCCTGGTGATGCTCAGGGGACCATCTGGGATGCTGGGGATCAAATTGGACTGGGTGCATGCAAGGCAAGTGCCCCACCCTCTGGACTCCCACTCCAGCCTGTATTACTTTATTTGGACTAGAGTGGATAGCTCAGCTGTCTACTATTAGTGATTCTGTAAGTCATTTATGATTCTTTTTGCTGAGTCCTTGGTCAAAATATTCTGGTTTAGAAGGCATTTGAGTGATTTGTGTGTGGTTGAGATGGAGCTATAAGCAGAAGCTTGTTGGAGAGTTTTTTTCTATATTCAGCAGCAGTTTGATTTCCTTCCAGCAAATGTGCTTTGAGAATTGTAAATATTCCTCCTGCCTGCCACTTGGCTGCTGAGGATCTCTGAAGAATTTCCCTTCCAATCTTCTTCCACTTCACTGGCCTTCCTTCTTAGCTATAATACAAGTGGAGTTTAGTGTATTTCCTGCCTCTCCCAAATAGGATTAGAATTTGAGTTCGTCTTGGTTTCTGTCCCCTCCACTCTGATCTGCAAGTAAGTGGGTCACTATCCACCACATATAGAAAGTGAAGCCTGCCAGGGTAGTAAGTGAAAGGTTTGTGACCTTATGCTTCTGTTTGCTTCTGCTCAGCAGAAGCGAGTCAAGTAAATGAAGATTCCTGTTGCAGATTGGAACCACTGATAGTTGATAGATTTTTTAAGCAGAAGGATGTATGTTAGTGTATATTTAGGATGAATATTTGTCATTAGATAATGGGGGGTAATGCTTAAAAGTGCTGAGCTATAAGAACCAAAAGATTGGGCCAAAGTGATGGTACAGAGAGTAGGAGATTTGCCTTGCATGAGGCCGACCTGGCTGTGTGCAAGGCAAACGCCCTACCCGCTGTATGCCCCAATCACATAAATCCCCGGCATCCCATATCCCTGAGCACCGCCAGGAGTCATCTCTGAACATCTCTGGGTGTGACCCAAAAAGGAAAAAAAAGTGCCGAAAGACTAAGGCCAGAGTGATAGGACAGTGGGTGCTTGTGCTTGCAAAACACTGTTTGATCCCTGATCTCGTGATCCCTGAGCACAGATCCATGAGTCAGCCCTAAGTATAGCCAGGTGTAACCAAACAAAAGAACCAAACGACTGGATATGTGTTAGTGGCTGTATGAATTAGCTTCTTGTTCAGGTTTCATGTATAGAACAGTTTGTGTTGTTAATGCTGTTGTGTATGTCATGAGACCACAGAAAATTTGTCTTTTACTGCTGCAAGCTTTATTTTGTATTTTGACATGATTCATCCTTATCTTTGAATAGAGCACTTTCTAAATTAAGTACGTTTTTATTTAAAGCAAAAATGTATATCCTTAGCACCAGTTTCTTTTTGAAGAAAATACTGCTGTTAAACTGCCTGCAATCAAACATTTGCTGTTCCTATGTGTCTATGAATAGGATCTGCTCTTTTTATTTTTAAATAATGTCCAGGAAATGAAATTGTTGACTCATTTAAAGAAATACATTCACAAAGATACCACTTTACAGCTAGTATTAAAATAAGTATTCTTTTGTTTTGATTATTTAAGGTACAGATATAATTGACTATAATGACTTGAATTTGAAAACTGGTTTGTTTGTGTTTTAACATTTATATAATCTTGCAAGTTATTTTTAGAAATCTCTGAGCCTTCATCTGTAAGCTGGAGAAAATGGTGTAGCCCAAGTAAAGCTCTGAGTAATGTGCTTTGCATGTATTAGTTGCTTACTGATAGCAATATTATTTTTAGTACACTTATCACCTCTTCTAGTTTCACACTTTACCCAATTAGGGGGGAAAAGAAGGAAATTAAACCTTCAACTCTATTATATCAACCTGATTTAAAATACTAACATATTGTTGATGTATCACAATTATAGTCATTTTGTTATTGTTATTGTTTTCTTATTGTTTTTAAATCACAGAGCCCCTGGATTTAAAAGTTTGCAACAGCAAGACAGCCAGGAACTTCTTCACTATCTTTTGGATGCAGTGAGGACAGAGGAAACAAAGGTCAGGTTTCTTTATTACATAAATTCTCTTTTCTTTTTTCTTTTTTCTTTTTTTTTTTTTGCTTTCTGTTGTCATATCTGCCGATGCACAGGGCTTACTCCTGGCTTATGCACTCAGGAATTACCCCTGGCGGTGCTCCGGGGACCATATGGGATGCTGGGGAATCGAACACGGATTGGCTGTGTGCAAGGCAAACACCCTACCTGCTGTATTGCCCCAATCACATAAATTCTTAAAAAAAAAAAAAACAAAACATAAAATTTCCTTAATGTCTTCCATAGTTTTAATATATAGTTGGGAATAATTTGATTTTTCCCTATCCTATTTTTTCCTCTCCTGTAAGATTTTCTTTCACCAGGCCACATCCCTGTTATTCTTTATAAAGGATACCCTTAGATTGTAGATAACAAACCAGTTTAAACTTGTGTAAGTAAAGGACTCTAAGAGCTCAGGTACAGGGGAGATGGCTGGGAAAACTGGAATGAGAAAATTCTCAGAAATCCAGAAGTGTTCTTGTTCCCCAGATTTCTTTAATTTTTTTTTTTTTCAGACTGAGTAGCTTCTCTCTGATGGTACAACTTGACCACCATTTGCATGTTGCTGGTCAACACATAGAATACTGGACCTGGTCATTTGTGAATCCCAGTTCTAAATTTCTAACTGAGGGAAACATAGTTGTTTGGTGTTGGATTAGGATGCACTCAGGAATCAGTTGGTCATTTGTGGCTAAGGCATGGAGTCCCGGCGTCTTGCTTGGATCATGGAACTTCTGAGAAAAGGACTGGATAGATTCTTTGGTGTTTGTTACAATCTTAGCCCTTAATTGACTGTTTACTGGCATTAGTTTAAGTCAGGTAAATTCTACTTCCTTTTCTGTAGGGGTTTATGGAAATAGGATTTTCAGAGAAGTATAAGATACTAAAGATGTTGATTACATAGTACTCATTGTCTACTTTTCCTCCTTTCTCACTTAGAATAGACATTTCTAATAATTCATAGTTTCTGCTGAGTGGATTCAGCCTCTGAATCACTCTCAACATAGTACTCTGTGCAGTATCTGTCAATCATAATGCTTATATTAGAAGTCCTACTTTTCTGTGCATTTTTTAATATACTTACTAATCTTTTATTAACTAATAAAGCGAGTGCATGAAATTGAAGTCCTCATATGCTTGAGGGCCTGTCCTGTCCTCCTGTTGTTCATCGATTTACTTGAGCGGTCACCAGTAATGTCTCCACTGTGAGACTTGTTACTGTGTTTGGCATATCAAATATACCACGGGGAAACAATGTATTATTTCTGTATTCCATGTGCTTGTACATAGTAGATGCTTAGTGACTGTTGGATAAATTGTGCTTAACCTCAAATGGTTACATAATTCTTGAAAGAAAAATAATCAATTTAATCTAAATTAATTCTGCCTAATGTACTTATATTTATGTATAGTAATTGGGGCCATACTCATTAATTGGATCAGGGGGAGGCATGTGGTGCCAGAGATAGAATTGAGTACCTCAAACATGTAAAACATGTTCTACCATTAAAGTCATTTCCCCAGCCCATTCCTGGTCCTTCTAAGGTTTAGTTTTAGTGTGTGGTCATCAGTGACCAGTATAATTTATTTTATGCTTGCTATTTAAAATTTGTAATTACTTCACTTTTTGGAAATGTAAGAAATCTGAGCCACTAGCTGATAAATTTTTGTGGGGGACAGATACAAAGTATAAGGTAGAGAGAGAGATTATCCTACTCTTGTGAAAAGTCAATGCATTATAATGTTTCTGAGCTTACAGATAAAAGTTACTTAAATTCATTAAGATTATCAGTTGGTAAAAAGATTTTTTTCTCTTCAGTTTGCAGAATTATTTGTTTTTACATATAGCCATTCAGTATTATAAATGTATTTTTGTAAGTGGAATTTAAAATGATCCGTTTACCTGGTTTTTTCCCTGTTGATGGACTCTCTTTTACATTTTTAAACCTATGCCTCTTTTAGGCTGGAGCAATAGCTGGTGGGTAGGGCGTTTGCCTTGCCAGCTGCCAACCCAGGTTCGATTCCTTCGTCCCTCTTGGAGAGCCTGGCAAGCTACTGAGAGTATCCTGTCCGCACGGCAGAGCCTGACAAGTTCCCTGTGCTGTATTCGATATGCCAAACACAGTAACAAGTCTCACAAGGGAGATGTTACTGGTGCCTGCTTGAGCAAATCAATGAACAACGGGAGGACAGTGCTACAGTGCTATGGTGCCTCTCTTTTAAATTTTTTCTTTTAAATTTTTGCTTCTATCAGTGACATTTTCACTTACAATTATAGTTTTGTCATAGTGGTAAGGTGGGATGCATGGTATCTGAAACATTCAGACAGTGAAACAGAAAACATTGGTGTTTGTTTATTTATTTTTTGAAGCTCTTATCGTTTTTCCCCTGTTTGAGGGTTTCAGATGGTGTGACAAAATTAAAATGTCACGTCTGTAGATCTATTCAGTCTCCTTCGTTGCAAGGACAGTCCTGGAGGTCAGATACAGTGAGTGCCCTAGCTGGAGCCCCATTGTCTGGCGTGGGAACGCCACAGCTGTCACTCGTGCTGCTCTTGCAGTTTGTCACTGCATGTATTTTTTTTAATTGAGGAAAGGCCACAGCTTTGTGTCTGCCACCAGAATCTTTTAGTAATGATTAAAAACCTTTGTTCCTGTTGCTTATTGTGGGTGTTTTTTTTTTTTTTGATATAAGGTTGAGGACATGCTCTTAGAGTATGAGCCCTCAGCGGTTCATTTATGCAAAGATTGTAAATTTTCATGTGCAAGCTAAATCTAAATTTCCTTTAAGAACCTTTGTAGGCAGTCTTTTCAACTTAGAAATATGTGCTGCTTAGCTTTTTTCTTAATTTGGGCAATCATTAAATGATACAGCCTTTTCTCACATCCACATCACCAATGCTTTACCAGATAGGATCATTTAGATCAGGATATTGGCAGCTTTACCTGTTTTTCGCATCCCTATGTTTGAAAGAAAGTTAAGATGAAGATTTTAAAGAGTTGAACATTGAAACTGCTAACTGATGTATGTGTTACTGTTCAGCAGTACCCCTGACTGAAGGCTGCATTTTTTTTTTAACCTAAATGCCTCAAAGAATAGCTAACAGTGTGAGCATGTAAATAGACTTACGCCCATTAATTTTATTCATTTTGATATAGTACCTATTAATGGAAATGAGAGTAGAGATCATAAATTCATGATTTGAATATGAGAAAGATGCAAAATTCTACCAGTTAATATTTAAATAATTTCATTGTTTTTACTGTTTCACATTTCAGAATATAGTAAAGGCTCACTGAATTATCTTGCAAATCATATCTGAATTAGTGAATTTAATATAGTTTAAATTGTAATATAAATTTAGACTTCTAAGTTGTCTTAAAAGTCTTTGGTATCTAAGAGAATTTTACAGTTAAAAGTATTTAGGAAATATAATGTGCTGAGCATATTATATTTGGGATATAGTATGAGTTGGGAAATGAAACTCGGTTTCACAGCTATTGGGGGATGTCATTAAAAATGTATTAACAAATCAGGTATACTGAAGAGTGTGCACAAATCAACAGTTTAAAGCACCTTATAGAGTCAGTTATGGACCAGGAGATAGTCAAAGGGCTGGAGCACCAACCCCTGAGTTTGATGTCTGCAGTGTACGGTCCCCTGAGCATCACTGAATATATCCTTAACCCAAGAACCTCCCCAGGGTGGCTTCGATGGCCCTCAGCTCTTTGGGCCCTAAGAAGCATCCCATTGCCAAACCCCCAACCATTGAACTATCTTATATATATCAAAAGAGCTGGGATAAGTAATGGTTGTGACCCTAGGAGCATTCCCCTGACCTCCCAGAAGTTATTTACAATAACACTCTTACCACCATCCCAGAGTTTTAAACAAAAATGTTACTAGTACCCTAACTGTTCCTTTCCTCCCAAACATTACTGCCCCATCGGAGAGAACTATTATTTTGATTTTTTTTTCTTTTTGGGTCACACCCAGCAATGCACAGGGGTTACTCCTGGCTCATGTACTCAGGAATTACTCCTGCCGGTGCTCAGGTGACCCTATGGGATGCTGGGAATCAAACCCAGGTCAGCCATGTGCAGGGCAAACGCCCTACCTGCTGTGCTATTGCTCCAGCCCCCTATTATTTTGATTTTTACCTAAATTATTCAATTGCTTTGAGAGCTATGCATGTTTAAATAGCATTATTTAGTCTTTATGAGTAGCAAGCACAAATTAATTGCCGTTGTTGGATAAGAGCTTCTAAAAGAATAGCTCAAAGAATCTCAAACATCGTCTGGCTCTGGCTTCCTGAAGTATCCTAGCATTTATAAGGGCTCTTTCTGGACAAGTCAGTGGGCAGGATCAGGAATACATTCTGAGCCAGATTTGTCCAAATCCAAATACATGGTAGAAATGTAGGAGCAATCAAAACTAGCGACTTCCTTAAAAATAAGCTAGAGGGGACTGGAGCGATAGCACAGTGGGTAGGGCGTTTGCCTTGCACGTGGCCCAGCATTCCGTATGGTCCCCTGAGCACCACCAGGAATAATTCCTAAGTGCAGAGCCTGGAGTAACCACTGAGCATCGCCGGGTGTGACCCAAAAAGCAAAAAAAAAAAAAAAAAAACAAGCTAGAGCCCATTCTCTACCACCAATGATCATGGTGTTTCACTAGTAAAGTAAAGTAAAGTAACGACCCTCCCGTTGTTCGTCGATTTGCTCGAGCGGGCCCAGTAACGTCTCCATTGGAGACTTTGTTGTTACTGTGTTTGGCATATCGAATACGTCACGGGGAGCTTGCCAGGCTCTGCCATGTGGGCGAGATACTCTTGGTAGCTTGCCGGGCTCTCCGAGAGGGGCAGAAGAATCGAACTCGGGTTGGCCATGTTGGCTGCGTGCAAGGCAAATGCCCAACCACTGTGCTATCGCTCCAGCCCTAAAAAAAAAAAAAAAAAGACTAGAGGCCACTCTGTTTTTTCTGCTTCTGAGAGTTTTCAGGAATAGTTCATAGGAAAATGGTTCCTGAATGCTACGGGTCACTCCAGTGAAGCTGCATCTGCCACAGTTTAATTAATGTGATGCTGTATTTGGGGAGAGTGGGTGAATTTTGAACTACTCTGGCAGTATTTATGGCTTACTTCTGACTCTGTGCGCAGGGGTCATTCCTGGCAGTGGTTCAGGGAACCTTATGTGGTACTAAGGATAAAACCCAAGTCAACATTCAAGGCAAGCACCTTACCCACTATGCTAACTCTCTAGGCCTATGTTGCTGTATTACATAGCTGATGTTTTATATAGAACTTTTTCACAAATGATATTGGTGTGGACTCTGTACATTGTCTCAGATTTTGTTACCAGCCTGATTCTTCATGAAAATAATTGAATAGCTCTCCTTTTTGTACCCTGAAACATAGGTTTCATGGCATTCCTCTAGGGGTTGGAGCTTTTTGTTGGGGATCACTTTTTAAAAAATGTATTTCCTCTCCCCAGATGCTCCCATAAAAACTGATTGTTTCTCTTCTGGGATTAATTTCTTGGGAAGTGATCTGAATCTCCACATTTTATGGTGGAGTAAAGTATGATTGTTTAAATTGTTTTTCATTTTTTAAAGAGGCTTTCCTCTTAGGTGTGTTTGTTAGGCTTTTCAGCTTTATCTTTAAGATTAGATAGTAGATTTATTCTCAGTCAACATCTTTGAGAGGTACAGTGAGGCACACCCAGTGGTGTTCTGGGGCTGTTTCAGGCTTTGATCTAGGGTGTGATCCCAGAGGTGCTCTAGGGACTTTTTTTTGTGGTGCTGAGAAATCCTACAAGGCCAGCCCCAGGCAAAGCAAGGCAATTACTGTCACTTTGCCCCTCAGGCAGCGTTTGATTAATTTGTTCTCTTTGGTTTTTCAGTTTCATTAATACTTTCCTTCTGCTTTTGATCAATTTTGTATTTTTTCCCCTAAATTTTTTATTTGACTGCTTAATTCTAATTCTGTTCAATTGGCTTGACACAGAAGGTAGTGAATTTTCTTCTCAACACTGGAAACAATGAATTTTAATATGTCATATTTTTATTCTTTCCTAGATGTTAACAATTTGGGTTTGGTGTATCTGGATCTTTTAGTAAGTCCCAGTCAAACAGTGGTTTCACATACGGGAAACTGCCTTGAAGTCTTCAAAAAAAACTTTTGAAGGATAATTAACAAGCTTACCCTAATCCCTGCTTTCACAGTGTGAATTAGAGATTAGAAACATCCACTTTACTTTGCATATTGAAATAGATTTGATCCTGAACACCACATAGTTACTGATTCACTGCTGCAAGTTATTTGGGAGTACCACTAAACAAAGCAGGGCATACATATATCCAGAAATTAGAGGCATTATTGTGGGAAAAATTGTATTTGTTAACTTAAACATTTTTTTTTAAATTTAAAATTGGAAGGCATTATGATTTATAATACTATTAATGATATTCAGTAGGGTGTTTGCCTTGCTCACGGCCGGTGTGGCTGAGCCAAGTTCGATTCCTCCGCTCCTCGCAGAGAGCTGGCAAGCTATCGAGAGTATCTCGCCTGCACGGCAAAGCCTGGCAAGCTACCTGTGACATGGTCAATGCACCAAAACACAGTAACAAGAAGTCTCAAAATGCCCGCTCGAGCAAATCGATGAACAACGGGAGGACAGTGCATTGCTACAGTGCTAATGATAGGGTTTCATGCCAATAATGTTCCATCACAAAGACCTCCACCAGTGTGTCTGCTTCCCTCCCCACTGTCTCAGGGTCCTCTCCTTAAATACCCCCTACCCCTTCCTGTCCCCAAGGTGGTAAGCACAGTTTTGTAGAATAGTTCTCAGATTCAATTGCCTTTGTCTGTTATTTTTTTTATTCCCTTATTATGCTTTATAATTTATGCTTTATAATTTATAAATTTATGCTTTATAATTCACATAGAGATCATCCTATATTTGTCCCTCTCCTAACTTCACTTATTTCTTGAAATATATAGTTTTATTCGGAAAACTATCAATTAAGCTGGCTTCTTCTGAAACATATGCAAGAGATGTGTAAATATGGACTGCACTGCACTGCACTGCACTGTCCTCCTGTTGTTCATCGATTTTGCTCGAGTGGGCCCAGTAACATCTCCATTGTGAGACTTGTTGTTACTGTGTTTGGCATATTGAATACAAAACTCATAATTTACTAAGAGCCTCTAAATATGTAATAGGTGGTTGCTTTGGGGACAGGAGAGATAGAACAGAGCACTTACCTTGGACACAGCAAACCTGGGTTGGATCCCCACATGGTTCCCTGAGCACCACCAGGAGTGATTCCTGAGTGCAAAGCCAGGAGTAAACCTGGGGTATTTAGACGAGTGTGCCACCCCTTCCTCAATGGGGCTTGAGCCAGAGAGATAGTACAATGGGTACCTCATGTGTTCCCCTTAGCACTGCCAGGAGCTATCTCTGAGTGCAAAGCCACCAGTACTCCCCTCCTCCCCAAAATGAGGTTTAATTGGCCAGCAACTATTAAAACAGTGGAAATACAAACCAACTGCTTTGAAAGAATATGTTCTAGTATAGAGTCTGACTAAATTCTTATTAATTTTGTTTTATAGAGAATACAAGCCAGTATTCTAAAAGCATTTAATAACCCCACTACTAAAACTGCTGATGATGAAACTAGAAAAAAAGTCAAAGGTATGTTCATTCAGTTTCTGTTAAAGTGTTCTAGGTTTCTTTGGGGAGGTAGTGGGGAGAAGCTCAGCATTATATGAATTGATTTTTTAATGAGGAGAGTATATTGGACTAATAAGATAGTACAGAAGTTAAAGTGCTCACCTTGCATGTGGCTGACCACACTCACTGGGTTCAGTCCCCAGTACTATCAGGAGTGACCCCTGAGCACAAAACCAGGAATAATTTTTTACCACGACCAGGTATGGTATGGTTTCCAAATGCAAAGTAAATAAATAAATGAGAGTATATTCAAATAACTACAAGTAATAATAGAAAAATTTGAAATGTGTTGGTGTGAATTTAAAAAAAATTTTTTTTAAAGCAGGGGCTGGGGTTATAGTATAGCGTGTGTGGCATTTGTCTTGCACACGGCTGACCTGGGTTTGATCTCCAGTACCCCATATGGTCTCCTGAACTCACTAGGAATAGTCCCTGTGCACAGAGTCAGTAGTTTGCCATAAGCATTGCTGGATGTGACCCAAAAAAACAAACATAAATGAATAAAACTAATAATAAACAGCCTGGCACGAATGCCATCTTGTGAGGTATCCTAAGAAAGACACAAAAGTTTTTGAAACTTCCATTCAGCATCTTACTGAATAATTTTTGCAGTTAAAATATGCTTGGATAACTGCCTTAATAGATATTATCTAATTGTGTTATTGTTTTATTATATTGTCTGCTTTAACTAGGTAAAATGTTTAGGTACTCCAAAGAGTTCTAATAATGATTTATTCACCAGAGTATTAAGTCATGCTTACATGTAAACTTTTTTCTTTTCCTGCTTTTTGGGTCATATCCGGCGATGTACAGGGGTTACTCCTGGCTCGTGCACTCAGGAATTACTCCTAGCAGTGCTCAGGGGACCATATGGAATGCTGGGAGTCGAACCCAGGTCAGCCATGTGCAAGGCAAACGCCCTCCCCTCTGTGCTATCACTCCAGCCCCACATGTAAACTTTTAAAACCACTCCTACTGACCCTTTGCCAGCCAAGTGTGAGGTAGAAACAATAATTAATTAGAACCCATCACTTATAATTGCTAGTATTAAAGTGTGGATTTAGGCCTTTTGTCATTAGTGATCTACCTTAGAGTAAATGTATGTTCTGCCCTGCGATATAGTAGAAAATCATTTTTAGAAGAAAAATTTTAATTATTTTTATATTTTGTTTATATATTCCCAAACTATGTTACTCTTAAAGGTACATATTTAAAAAAATTGATTTTTAAAAATAGCTGGTATGTGTACTTTGTACTTTTTGTATGGTCTTTGTATTTTTGTTTTGAGAGAGTGCCATCTAGTGCATGCTTAGAATAATTGCCCACTTTCCCTTTCCTCCTTTCCTGTTACTTTATTTTCAATCCTTTTGCTGTTTTTTAATGAAACATCTTATCATAATATTTTGATCTATCCATATGTAAGTCTGTTCTATATTCAGTGCTGCAATAATTGTATTCAGTGCTTTCAAGTGTTATTTGTATGAAATTTGAAGAGAAGCTCAAACAGGAAGGAAGAGACATTTGAAAAGAGTAGAGAATAGGTTTGTTATTGTGTTTTTCCCACGTGGTTTATATGGAAATTTTTATGGTTCCTGTGAAAAATTGAAATTTTCTATGGAAATTTTCCATCTTAAAGTGAAGCAAATGGTATAATTAAGATCCCTGTGCCTGGGACCAGAGAGATGGTACAGCATTAAGGTGCTTATCTTTTTTTTTTTTTTTTTAAGCACTTATCTTGCATGTAGCCAAAACAGGTTTGATCCCTAGTTCAGCCAGGAAGGGCCCTGAGCACTGTGGGTACAGTCCTAACCACTTCCTCTGAAAACAGAAGTTCCTTGTATCTGTAATCCATGCTTATACTATAGTCAATGCATGATACTTCATCAGTTTTCTCAGTTTTATATTATTTTGCAGCAAATAATAAGCATAATTTCTTGATTTATAAATATTTGAAACTATTTGAATAATATCGTATAACTGATAAGTTATATAGATAGTTGAGTCATTAATTGCTCTTGTTAAATTAATTTTGCTGTGTTCACTTATTTTTTTGTTATTTTTGTTTCCATTGTTATTATCATGTCTCCTGTAACCTTAAAAGTATAATCTCCTTTCCCATCCCTTCATCAACCTGTAGGTGAGATTCAGAGCCTGTAAAGGGCTTATTGAGAGCAGTTGATAAAGATCGGGCTTTGCTCTAATCTTTCACTTTGTCTCTTAATTGTAATAGTTACTCATTCCTTGGAGACTAGTTGAGTCATTGTGAAGGAGAAAGACATAGCATTATTATATAACAAAATGTATTACTAAATGTGAACATCTGCCTTCTTCAGATTTCTTGTGAAAAGAAAGAAAGATGTTGCATTGGTCGGTAGTGGTTGACTTTTTTTTTTTTTTGCATTAAAAAGTTTTATTTTTACAGCATATGGCAGAGAAGGTGTGAAAATGAACTTCATAGATCGGATCTTTATTGGTGAATTAACCAGCACAGTCATGTGTGAAGAATGTGCAAATGTAGGTATTTTGGAATTCCCTTCAACATGGAATAGACAATCATGTTTACACATACATATAAATAAAACCTCTAGAGAAGTTGGGGCTAAAGAAACAGTACAGTGGATAGGGTGCTTCCTTTTGCAAAACAAGGACAAGCAGGGTTTGATCCCCACCATCCCATATGTTCCCCCAAGCACTGCCAGCAGTGACTTCTGGCCCCGAAACAAACAAAAATCAAAAACCCTGAGCTTTGCCCTACATGGCCCAAGAACAGAAAAACAAAAGAAACAAAATAAACCTCTCAAGAAGTAAATACTTACAATTTTTAAACAGTTTATTTTGGGGGCAGAGATAGTACAGAAGGTAAGGAGTCGGGTTCTATCCTCAGCACCAGATTTGTCTTCAAAACAACACCAGAAGTCAATCCTGAGCACAGAGACAAGAATATCCCCGAGTGTCTTGGGTGTGCCCCCAGATTAAAATAACCCATTTATTTTGAAACTTTTAGATATTACAGGTTATATTGGCTATATTGTAAAATTCAATTGGATTACTTTTATTGAAATTTTGAGTGACAGTATGAACTTTTATACTAAACTAAATCACTTTGCTCCAGGAACATTATTTAATTAAAAGTTTAAATTCCCGGTAGGAAATGGTAGGGTATTTGCCTTGCACCTGTCTGACCTGAGTGTGATTCCCAGCATCCCATATGGTCCCCAAGCACCGCCAGGAGTAATTCCTGAGTGCATGAGCCAGAAATAACCCCTGTGCATAGCCAGGTATGACCCAAAAAAAAAAAAAAAAGTTTAAATTCCCTAAAGAAAATCAGGACCTGAGCTATAGTCTGGCGCTTAGGGTGTTTGCCTAGCACATGGCCAACTTCATTTGATTTTCTATACCCCATATTGTCCCCTGAGCGCCCCAGGTGTGATTCTTGAGCACAAAACCAGGAATCAGCCCCGAGCATCGCCAGGTGTGACCCCAAAACAAATCCACAAAAGCAAAAATGTTAAGTTTCCTGAGATATTTGACTTTTTTTCCTTCGGACTTTCTAAAACTACACTATCTGTATTAGAATTCTAACTGAACTTTTTGTTTTTCAAAGATCTCTATGGTGAAGGATCCTTTCATTGATATTTCACTTCCTATAATAGAAGAAAGGGTAAGGAGAAGAGCTTTTTTTTTTTTTCATACATTTGAATGTTTGTTAAATATATTACAGGTATCTGAGAATCACTTTTTTGTATGATAAAATTTTAGTATATTTGATATTGGTAATTCATGTATATGTGTATTATCAGGCATATTATTTATTTCCAAGGAATTTAAACTCATGCTTTATATTTTGAGAATTAATGTTAAGGAAATTGCATATATTTAAATAAATTAAACATTTTAAAATGTAATGTTGAGAACTTGTTTACCATGGCTTTGTGTTTTGTATGTGCTTCTATATAGGCTTCAAAACCTGTACTTCTGGGGAAAATTAATAAATGTAGGAGCTTACAGGAGTCAGACAATGGTCAATATACTACTATTGCTTTAGAAAATACTCATCACTCTAGAGCTACTGTGAAGCATTCTTCACCCAAAAATCGGGTAAGAAAATGTGCATTTGTTTAACATCTACTTTTAAAGTTTTTTTTTTAATTAATAAAACCTCTAAAAATATAAAAAGTAGATAAAATAGTATTAACTCCTGCATACCTATTCCTTAGCTTCCTAATTACGTTAGTGGCTAATCATCTTTTGTCTGTATCCTACATTCTCCTCCTCCCCATCCCTGATTAGAGATTAATTAAAAGTAAATGTACTTTTTAAAAAAATATTATCACAGCACCATTAATATGGTACTAATATTAGTAATTAATGGTCTTAGCACCCCTTTGGTGTTAATAGATTCTTTTGTTCTTTATTCTCTCTCAACATTAGATCTAATTAGATTCAAGTTTGATTGTTAAATTTTTGACCAGAAAACTTTTGTGGAGGAGGGGACTGTAGTTTGGGTTATAGCTAGAGATGCGCATGGGTTACTCTGGGCTCTGAAATATTACTCCTCCTGATGGTACTTGGGGCAACCATATGTGGTACTGAGGATCTAACCCAGGTTGACTGCATGCAAGGCAAGCGCCTTACCCACTATACTAACTCCCCAGCCCTATTAGGCTAGACAACTTTTAAATGGTGAGTACACTTTCATCGTGGAAGGGTGCACAATGCTGTCTTCCTGTGATGCTGCCAGTCATTGATGACTGTTGTCTAGACCAGAGGCTCCCAAAGTTATTTGACTTATGAGTACCTTTTCAGAAAAAAAAAACAAACCCGTATTTTCTCATCCTCCTTAAGTGAACAAACAGAAAGTTCTTCCCCAATTGTACCTGAAACTTCTATTGTCCCTCCCATTGTTCCATCAAGGGGTGGGGTAAGGAAGGACTATTGCCCTCTTTAAGAAATACTGATCTACAGTAGACCCATTCACTAGGGGCTTACGTAGTTGTTAAATTAATCCCATATAATCTTAAAGAAATTAAATTTTTGTTTTACTAAAAAATTAAAAATTGTCTTTAGGGCCAGAGTGGCAGCCCAAAGGGCTCTGTGAATATTTTTCAGTGATACCTGTGAGTGCTGCTAGGAGTGTTGCTTGACCCCTAGAACTGTGGGTGTGACCCCAAAGCCAAACAATACCAAACAGTCTCCAACCTCGTCCTGTTCCACCAAAGTCCTGTCTCTTTTTCTGTGACAGAAAAGGAGTGTCCATCATTGTAGTTTCTTTAGCACAGCTTTTTTTTTTTTTGTCTGGTTGGTTGTTTTTTTTTAAATTATGACTGCTTGCTAGTATATTTTTTGCTGTTGTGATTTAGGTCATTAGGAAATGGCGCTCAGAGAAATACCAGAAATAGTTGGCTTAACAGTTGTTCGGTTTTCAACGTTTAAATGAGAATAATCAGCATTTATTTTCAGTAAGATCACAAGATTCTTTTCTTTGAAAACACTGTCAACTTACAGAACCAACTAATTCATGACAGAAAACGTGTCAGAAAATTATCATCTGGAGTAGATAACGGTGTTGTCATATACCAGAGGAGCGAAAATCTTGACATGAATGGGGATTCTCTGGTGTTTGCCAGCATCAGGAATCCGGAATCAGCTCTGGCGGAAAGCCCTACTGACGGCAGTGACAAGGAGGCCAGCAGCTCTGAGAGCAGTGCTGATGCAGACAGTGAGGCTTCCGAATCGGAAAGTGCTTCCCAGCGCCCTGTGTTGATGCGGTCCAGTAGCAGGTGCTTCTTGCACACCAATGGCCACCTTCACCATTCGTTAGCAAATGAACAACGACACGCCCAGGAGACTGACAGTGGTGATGAGGGCCTGGCTGAAGCTGTGTCTGAACTTCATTTGAGCAGCACTGTGGTCAGAGAGAAAAATTTCGATAGGGAAAACCAGCTGCTAAATGTTCCAAATAATTTTTGTTTTTCGGAGAAGCATATGACGCCTGCCAGTCCCCAGAATGCTTTTCAGACCCTTTCTCAGAGCTATATAACTACTTCTAAAGAATGTTCCGTTCAGTCCTGCCTCTACCAGTTTACATCGATGGAATTACTAATGGGGAATAACAAGCTTCTGTGTGAGAATTGTACTGAAAAGAAACAGAAGCACCAAAGTGAAACCAGTTCTGCAGGTAAATACTGAGCTTAATCTTAATTTTTTTAAGGACCAATACTGATTTTTTTAGTATTTGATAGCCTGACCAGTAGTAGATTAGAGGAACTGGAAAATGCCTCCATTCTTTTTCTGTTTTTGTTTTGGGGCCACATCTGGTAGTACCCACGCTTACTCCTGGCTTTATGCTCAGGGATTACTCCTTTTGGGGCTCTAGGGACCATTTCTGGTTCTGGGGATTGAATGTGGGCCAGCTGAGTGCATGGTAGACGTCCCACCCTTTGTACTATCTCTCTGGCCCCAAGTTATACCTGTTCTCAAATATGTCATAGGTCCTTTCCAATAACCTTTTATTGAAGTGCCCAAGATTTACCTGTGTGATCTTTCACTGCAATGAATAATGAGATATTTTCAACTCTAGGTATGTTTCTGGTTGTCTTTGACTGGAAAGCATTACATTAATCTTACGCTAATCTGCTTCCCAGTTCCTGAATTTTGTTGCATGTCATCTCACCTATTCATTATACTTTATGAATGTGTCTGTTTTCTTTCAGTATGCTTTCATTTTAGTGGAGTTTTGGAACCAAAACATAATTTTGCAACCAGAAGTCCTGGTCCCTTTTTAACATTAAAAAGTTACAGATGGGGGGCTGGAGCAATTGCACAGTGAGTAGGGCATTTACCTTGCACGCGGCCTACCCGGGTTCGATTCCCAGCATCCCATATGGTCCCCTGAGCACCGACAGGGTTAATTTCTGAGTGTAGAGCCAGGGGTAACCCCTGTGTATCGCCAGGTGTGATCCAAAAAGCAAAGTAAATAGGTAAAATTTTAAAAAGTTACGGATGGGCCAAAGTGATAATATAGCCGATTAATTGCTTGCCTTGCACACCTTGCACACCGCCCATTTGGGTTCAATGCCCAGCACCCTATCCTGTCCCCGGAGCCCACCAGAAGTGATACCTGAGCACAGAGCCAGGAGAAGCCTGAGCACACCACTGGGTGTGGTCCAAAAATCAAAAAAGTGGTTTGGTAAATGCTAATTATATAGTACTGTATAAGATGGAATTTTACAAGTAAATGCCTTATATTTTTGCAGAAAGAAAAGCAGAAGGGGTTTATACTAATGCCAGAAAGCAACTACTCATTTCTGCTGTTCCTGCAATCCTAATTCTCCATCTTAAAAGATTCCATCAGGTAAAAAGTCTCTAGAGTAACATTGGAGTCATTTTCATCATATGTTTTATAAATTTCTAAGTTCTATAAATACTGCCATGAATTATAATGTTCTGAATTTAAAGATTTGTCATTGGAATTTACTGTGTTTTTTTTTCCACAATGGCTTTTAAGGCTTTCTGTGCTTGGGGCTGGAGAGATGATACAGCAGATAGGGCACTTGCCTTATATGCAGCCGATCATGTTCAATACCTAGCACCCCATATGGTTCCTGAGCACCTCCAGGAGTGATTCCTAAATATAGAATGAAGAGTGAGGAGTAATCCCTGAGCATTGTTGTTATGGCCCTCAAACAAAAATAAATTAAAAAAAAACTTTTTGTGCTCTGTTAGGTTTTTCTCATTAAAATTAGTTGGTTTACAGTATTTGAAGATATTGATGGTAGGAAACTAAATGATATCTGTGTATGTTTGTGTGTGTGTGTGTTAATGGAAAAGATGCATTAACAGCACTTAGAAGCAAGGAAATCTTAGTTTTATGAAATCATGTAATTCCACTGAGAAGAGAGCTTGGAGTGGGCATTGCTGACTAGAAATATGCAAAAGGGCTTCAATGCAAGCTTTATGTAGGACTCTTATCATGAAGAATCACATTCTTTCAGTGTATGAGGTTTTTTTCCCAGTTATGTGTAGTGTTAGTGCTTTATCTTAGTAGTTTTTTTGCATTTGATAAAACATATAGTTAGATTTGTCAGTGCTATAAAGCCTGAGTATAATTTAAAGCTGTTTGATAGAGGAAGACTCTCAAATGAGAAGAGAACTCTCAGATACCACGTTAAGCCTTCTAAAGATTAGTAGAAAAAGACATCAGTGTGAGTATATTTTGTTCACAAAATTAAGTTTGTGGGCCAGAGATGTGGGACCCAGGTACATAGGTGGCATTAAGGAATAATAGAGCTAAATATCCAAACCACTGAGTCAACAACACCGAAATCACGAGACCCAAAGATTAGTAACCAAATTTAAAAGGTGCCTGTTAAGATAGAGGCTGGGGCTGGGGTTAGGGGGTAGGACAGGGAAACTGGGAACACTAGTAGAAGTTGACACTGGTGGTGGAACTGGGGATAGAACGTTTTGTGTCAAAAATCCAACTATGATTAACTTTGTAATTAATGGTGCTTTGATAAAATACAATTTTGAAAAATAATATAAAAAGACCAATCCTTGAAGTAGCTCTTCAAAGCCCTACATGTAAATTTAGTTCTGAAATCCAAAGATTTCAGATTTACTGCTTTAATCATTCTAGAGCCAAAGAGCTCAAGAGGCCAAGTACATGCCCTGCATGCAGGAAACTTAGGTTCGTTCTATGCTACATGGTCTCCTGAACACCCACTGCCAATTATGGTCCCAACACACAAACACGCACATAAATCTTCTCATTCTAATAATAGTCTATTTCTATTTATGAGCCTTATTTTATACCTATGGCGATCTACCCAGGTAGCTTTTATTATTACATAATACAAACTGTATAATTTTCAAAGTCTTCCTTTGGAAATTGAAGATAGAAAACAAGGACAGAGAGACAGTTCAGGAGTTAAGGCTCTTGTTTTGCATGTGACTAATCCTGGGTTGATCTCTGGCACTAAAAATAGTTACCTGAGCCATGCCAGATGTCACTCCTGAACATAAATCCAGGAGTAACCCTGAACACTGCCAGGAGGTCCCAATAAAAACAAAGCAAGTAAATAAAACCAGAACAAGAAGTAGAGCTGATGAAAGAACATCAAGACTTATTTTCCTTAGTACTAACACTTATTATGATTGAGTAAATGATTTAAGTATTGAATATTTTTCATGTGTGTGTCAGTTGGGAGGGGTGTTGGGGGGGTTAGGAGGGCTTCAAAACTCCAGGATTTACCTGGGCCACCCACCGTAATGGTGCTCAGGGCCCTCATTCTTCACTTCTTCCCTCTTGGTTTACTTCTGGTTCTGTGGGGTCATTTCTCACAGTGCTCAGGGGACTATATGTGGTGCTGGCAATTGAGCTGGATGGAGCTGACCATGTGCAAGGCAAATGCCTTACCTGTTGTACTAACGCTACAGTCCCATAAGTTTTCTTTTTAATGAATAAGTATCACTGATCTTTAGAAATAAGAGGAAACTATTATCATTCATTTCTGCTCATTTTCTGCCTTGATCTTATTAAGTTAATCAAGTTAACTGTTAACCAGTCATTGAACTGAGCCTTAACTATAGGCTCCTATTCTAGTTGAGTTTGTTTTCATGATAGCATGTGGTCAGTAACTTCACTTTTTATCACATTGAGTTTATGTTCAAAGGCCATCATGAAAGTAATTATTTCCATACTTGTGGTAAAGGAGCAATAGCACAGCGGTAGGGCGTTTGCCGTGCACGCAGCCAACATGACCAAGTCGAATTCGATTCCTCCGCCCCTCTCGGAGAGCCCGGCAAGCTCCCGAGAGTATCTGACCCACGCAGGAAAGCCTGGCAAGCTCCCCATGAAGTATTCAATATGCCAAACGCAGTAACAAGTCTCACGATGGAGATGTTACTGGGCCCGCTCGAGCAAATCAATGAACAATGGGAGGACCGAGACCATGACTTGTGGTAAAAATTTTCATGTAAATGGATAGGTTTCGCAGTAATAATTTTTGAAATCTAATTAAAAACTTAGTCTTGTTTCAGTTTTGGATTATTCATTAGTCATGAATATGTGAGTGTGTGAAAAGTGACTCTAGGACTCCTTTTTTTATGCTTTAACGAATAGTGATTTGAGTATAATTAAAATTGTTGCACTAATTTTTTCTTCCTGCATCTTTTTAAGGCTGGCATGAGTCTTCGCAAAGTAAACAGACATGTGGATTTTCCACTTACGCTTGATTTGGCACCATTCTGTTCTGCTTCTTGTAAGGTACAGTACAAGTGTATATTACTCAGTTATCTAATTATTTTACAAATACTATGTAGCTGTAATACCTCTTTCATACTAAAATAAATAACGTTAATTCCTTCATATCATGTGGTGCCTCTATGGCAGGCACTTCCCTCCCTCCCTCCTTCTCTCCCTCTCTCTTTTCCTCCCTCCCTGCCCCTCCCTGTCTCTTCCTCTCTCTCCCTTTCTCTCCCTCTCTGCTGTACTTACGCTCCATATGCTAGTTCATGAGTTTATTAAGAATTGAAGAATTGAGGTTGAAAATATGGCTTAGTGGTAAAGTTGCAGGTCCTGAATGCAGGATGCCTGAGTTTGGTCCCCAGCTCTGTATGGCCCTCCAAGCGCTGCCACTGGTGATCCTGTAGGGTCCCAAGCCTCCTGGGGCCGAGCACTGTTGGGAGTGGCTGCAAACCCTGAGTATTACTATGGCTCTGTCCCCTCCAAGCACATCTTAATTGCAAAATTATACAATATGATTGACGAATGGGAATTTTCAACAATCTTTATGTCTCCCTTAGGGTACCTCACAAGATGGCATTCATGGCAGGATGTGTAATATTAGTTGTTCATTTTTAGTTTGGGGGCCACATCTGGAGATTGTCAGGGCTTTATCCTGAGTCTGTGCTCAGGATTCACTCCTGGCGAGTTTGAAGGATGATATGGGATGCCCAGGATCGAACTCAGGTTGACTGAGTGCAAGACAAGTGCCCTACCTGCTATAATCTCACTCTGGCCCTGAACCAATTTTTATTTTTTTCTTTTTGGGTCACAGCTGGTGATGCACAGGGGTTACTCCTGACTTTGCACCCAGGAATTACACCGGCCCTTAACCAATTTTTAGAGTAATAGATCTGTTCAGTGGCTACCTTCAACTACAGCTATTTACTGCGGATTAGTGGATTTAAACATATGAATATGTTTCAGTTACTCTTCTTTTTATTCACACACTGACTTTACTCTAATGGTTTGTACTCTAATGGTTTGTACTGAAGCTGCTTTAAGTTGGTTGCTGGATTCCTTGGATATGACCTTAGTGTTCCTCTCTGAAAGTAACTGCCACCAGCTGGATGTCATTTCTTTGCTTAGCTTTGTATTGTCACTTTTAGAGATTGTTTAAATTTTGTTTAATAACTACATAAATGGACTGGAGCGATAGCACAGCAGTAGGGCGTTTGCCTTGCACGCAGCCAACAGGGCTGACCTGAGTTTGATTTCTCCGCCCCTCTTGGAGAGTCCGGCAAGCTACCGAGAGTATCTCACCTGCACGGCAGAGTCTGGCAAGCTACCCGTGATGTATTCAATATGCTAAACACAGTAACAAGTTTCACAATGTTACTGGGCCCACTGGAGCAAATTGATGAACAATGGGAGGATAGTGATAGTGATAGAATTACATAAATTATAATTTCTAAATTAAGTACATGAAATGTACAAAACAATATAAATTCAAAGAAGTGTAGCTTTTCTTCATGTCTGTTCCATCTTCTTTTTCCCATCCCTTATAGATCACTATTTTTAAAAATTATTGTTAATAAAGACTGGGGATGTGGCTGAGTGGTAGGGTGCAGGTCTTGTGTGTACTAGGTCCTAGATTTGATTTCTGACACCACAAAGAAAAAAGGAAAAGTTATGTTGCATTCTTGTTTGTTTATAAGTTAAATTCTAAAATGAAAGAATCTGCATCTGTTTTGAGTAATAATAGTTTACAATATGCATCCTTTTTTCTTTCCTTTTTTTTTTTTTTGGCTTTTTTGGGTGACACTCAGCAATGCTCAGGGGTTACTCCAGGCTCTGCACTCAGGAATGACTCTTGGTGGTACTCAGGGAACCATATGGGATACAGGGATCAAACCTGGGTCAGCCACATGCAAGGCAAATGCCTTACCTGCTATACTATCCTTCTGGCCTTGTTTTCTACCTTATTCTGAACACGTCATGAGATTATTCTATATCCAATGTTTAGAGATATTTTGTGTTCCACTATTCAGTGGAGTAAAGCAGCATAATATTTTCATATGGATGTGTCATAGTTTATTCAGTCAGTCTTCCCAATTTAGAGATTTTAGAACTGTTGTCTTTTTTTGTTTGTTTGTTTGTTTGTTTTTACTTTCTGGGTCATGGTGATGCTCAGGGGTTACTCCTGGCTTTGGTTTTTTTTTTTTTTTTTTTTTTTTTTTGCTGCTTTTTGGGTCATACCCAGCGATGCTCAGGGGTTATTCCTGGCTTTGCACTCAAGAATCACTCCTAGCGGTGCTCAGGAGACCATATGGGATGCTGGGAATCGAACCCAGTGGGCTACATGCAAGGCAAAAGCCCTACCCGCTGTACTGTTGCTCCAGCCCCTGTTCCAGTGTTTTGATATTATAAATAATCCTAGTTCTTTATAGTTTGCTCATGTATCTGTGAGCTAGAATTCTGGAAATGGAGTCAAGAGGCCTAGAGTACTGTATATGTGATTTAACAATATAAACAGACATAGTCCTGCCTACAAGATTTTTGCCTTTTGTATTCTCACATGCAGTGTGCAAGTACGCGTTTACCTACAGAAACTTGATGAGCTCTTGTACTTTGCTTGTCTAATGTCGAAAAGTTTTTAGTGTAGTTTTAATATGCATTTCTCTTATTTTAAGCAGTCCATAGAGTTGACTTCATTGTCCTTACAGTACTACTATTACTAATATACCATTACTAATTTGGGCTTTTTTCTTTGAAAGAATGTAAATGCTGGCGATCAAGTTCTCTACGGTCTCTATGGCATAGTGGAACATAGCGGCTCTATGCGAGGAGGTCACTACACTGCTTATGTGAAAGTGAGAACACCCTCCAGGAAGTTATTGGAACATATAACTGGAAAGAAAAATGTCCCTGGTATGCCATCCTAACTGTTCCTTATTTTTTTGGGGCGGTGGGTGGAGAACAGTAGGGGTGCAGGGTGTCACGCCCAATGATGCTCAGGGGTTACTCCTGGCTCTACCCTCAGGATTTACTCCTGGCAGTGCTTGAGGGACCATATGAGATGCTAAAAAAAAAAAATTATTCTTCCTTTCCTAGAAGAGGTGAGTTATGGATTTCATGGATACCTTAATTGAATGCATTTTAATAATGTTAAGTGAAAATTACCTGTAAGCTTACTAACATAATTCTTAGAGAATGAAATATCTTAAGACTGTGTATGTACCCTTCTAGTTAACTTGAAGTGTTGAGTCATTATGTATTTTCAGTGAAGTTGCATTTTGTTTAACAATACCCCAAAATTTTGAAGACACACCAGGTCTTTTTTTTTTTTGTAGGAGTACTGCTATTTTTTCAGCCACTAGCTTGGCTGATTGAATTGGGCATGAACTCAACCTTACTTTTTTTTTTTTCATTTTTTATAATTTTTATTTATTGAATCACCTTGAGAGCAGTGACACAGCTTTTGGGTTTAAGTCTCGGTCATACAATGAAACACCCGTATCTTCACCAGTGCCCATTCTCCACCCCCCAAAACCCCAGTATGCCCCCATCCCACACCCTCCCCCTACCTGTGGGGCAGATGATTTCCACATTACTCTCTCTGTATTTGATTACATTCAATATTTTGACACCAGAGCCACCATCATTATTTGGGATTTTACCCCAACACTCAGATCTGCTGAAAAGGCAACAGTAGATAATTTGTTTTCTATTCCTGGTTATGAATAACACATGATGTCGCGTGGCTGCAGTAGTGGTGGTGCAATTTTGGAATTCCGAAGTGTTAACACTTAAATCTGGAGGGATTTCTGCCGAAAGCCACTGGGTTTCGAGATTTGTTCCTGAGTCTCTGGGATCATGGCTGTTAAGCAGCTTGATCAGGAGCCAGTTCATGGGTAGTGACTCGGGGTCTCGTTGTGGTGGGGAGGAAAGGGCTGGCTCCACCCCCATCCCATGAGGCCTTGCGAGTCTCATCACTGAGGGCCCAAACCTGACTGCCCAGTGGCCTCTGGAGGATGGTGACCACTGAGCTGCCTAGGGGGAGCAGGTGGAGGGACAGCACCCTTTCCCCCCTAGGGTGGCCCGGCGACAGTAACCTACTGCGGGGTCCGGACGCATTTCTGCCAAAAGCCACTGGGTTCCGAGATTTGTTTCTGAGTTTATGGGTGGTGACTCAGGGTCTCGTTGGGGTGGGGAGGAAAGGGCCACTGCACCCCCATCCCGTGAGGCCCCACGTGTCTCGTCACGAGGGCCCAAACCTGACTGTCCAATGGCCTCTGGAGGATGCCAGCCACTGAGCCGCCTAGGAGGAGCAGGCAGAGGGACAGCACCCTTTCACCCCTGGGGCGGCCCGGCGACAGTAACCTACTGCGGGTCCATATGCATTTCTGCCAAAAGCCACTGGGTTTCGAGATTTGCCTCTAAGTCTCTGGGATCATGGCCATTAAGCAGCTTGATCAGGAGCCAGAGAAGCTATACATGGGAAGCAACTCGGGGTCTCATTGGGATGGGGAGGAAAACACCAGGTCTTAAGAATAGAGTCGCAGTTTAAAATGTGCTTGAATGGAACTGGAGATAGTACAGCAAATAAGATACTTGCCTTTCTGTAGTAGACCCGGGTTCAATTCCCAGGACCACATATAGTTCCCTGAGCCCCACCAGGAGTGATCTCTGAGCACTAAGCCAGGAGTAAGCCCTGAGCACCACTGGGTGTGTCCCCTAAACCCCCTAGCCCCCTAAAACTGTATTGCTAGCTTTGCTTATGGACTAGCAATCTTTGGGTTTTTATCCTCTTCTCCCTGCCCCATCAGGACAGTTGTACCTGAATGTGTGGGGCTTCCTGGGAAAGTGGTTCAGGAACACTGTCAGGCAAGAATAGTTAAGTAGCCCCTCTGGCTTCTGCCAGGCTTATTCGGGCTTCCTCCCTTTCTATCCCACCTTCTCATAAGCCAGGGGTGGGAAACATTTGTTCAGCCAAAGGCCATTTATTTATCTATAACATTGTTCATAGGCTTTACTGAGTTATCAACTTTAAATCAGCCTGCTATTTAGTCAAACATTTGCATTATTTTGCTATGGTTGTCTTGGCAGGACCAGACCAGATGATTTCACCCCTAAGCAAACCATCAGGGGTGGCCTTCCCCGACTCCAGGCCTCTGGGTGGCAGGAGTCTGAGGGGAAGCTGGAGGCAGTGGTTGGCCAGTAGGCCTCCTCCACATTGTAGCCTCCTATTCTTCCCCATAGCTTGGGTTTCCTTCTACAAGCTTCCATGGGGACTTTTGTTCCTCTTTGCAAAATCAGTGCCAGAGTCCAGAGACATAGGATAGTGGGTAAGCTGCTTGCCATGCATGTCGCCAACCTGGGTTCTATCCCTGACTACCCGTATGGTTCCCCAAGCCTGTCAGGAGTGACTCGGAGTGTTGTAGGGCTAGGAGTCGGCCCTGACCATTGCTGGGTATGATCCCAAAACCAAAGGGGTGATAAAAATGTCTGCCATGTGCATGAAAGGGACTCTAGCAATAAGATCTAACATTAGATGAATATAGTTTGCGATGACTAAAGGAAAGAGTGAGCAAATGGGAATGACCTGGCACAGAGGTGGGGTGGGATGGTGGGGGGGACTACTGGGATCATTAGTGGTGGAGAATGGGCACTGGTGGAGAATGGGCACTGGTGGAGAGATGGGTACTTGATCATTGTGTGACTGAAACCTAAGTACGAAAGTTTAAGTCTACAACTGTACCTCATGGTGTTTCACTAATAAAAAAAAAGATAATAAATTTTTAAAAAAGTAAGATAAACCTAGTTTGCAATGAAACTGTTGTTTATAATGTAGAGCAAGGACAGAGCATTCTTACTGTAAAATTGTACTTTGTTATTTTGCTAGGTTTGAAGGAACCGGAGAGTGAATCGGCAGACCAGTGGGTCCATGTTAGTGACACTTATGTGCAGGCGGTTCCCGAAGCACGAGCACTTAGTGCACAAGCATACCTTCTGTTTTATGAAAGAATATTATAATTCTTTGTTAATTATTTATGATAACGATTACTTAGATTGCTTTTATTTAAATGCTGCAGCGATGACTATAATATGCAATGTGCCTTTGTAGTCTTTTCTCTCTGATAGGAGTAGGCATACCCCTCAGATACTCCTGAAAATATTTTACATTTTTGATGAATACTTTTAAAGCAAACTTAAATTTACCCACAGCTTTCAAATGGAAATTCTTAAAAAGAACTCTAAAGCCATGTTTTTAAAAGAATATTTGTCAGGGGTTTGGGACATAGCTCAGTGGCAAAGCACTTGCCTTGCGTGTCTGAGGTGCTAGATTCCATCCCTGGCACTACCAAAAAAGGAAAAAGAGAAAAGGAGATATATTTGTCATGGAAAAAAAAATGAAACAAAACATAGTTTGTAGTATAAAGGAAACTCCTTTATGATATGGCTTTCTATATGAATTCAAAAATGATGCTGGTTTAATCAGATCATTCCTTAAAACAGTACTTCCCAAGTGAAAGTCACATTTTCCTGATTTTCCTGATCTCAGAGATACATAAATCTATCTCTTGTTTTCTGTTTACTACTATTTAAACCCTATCTTTTCAGTTTTACCTTTTTAACCCTCCCCTTATTTTGAGTAATCATACTATCTTTTATGTGCCAGTTATATTTTTCTAATAAATATTAAAATAAATATACAGCTATCAAAAACTGTTTGTTTATCATCTAGCACTCCTCTTAACATCATCTCAGGACTATCTGTTGGCATTGATGTGTGGTATTACATGAAGTGAAAGTATATATTTTAATATGGCTTAGTGGCATTTCATACTCTGTGTGATTTCAGCCATGTGAAAAGGTACCACTGTAATTTCAATAATATGGGTTTGCAGATAATATATTTATTATCTAATTGCTTTGAGATTTTGAAATATTTTAAAATATCAGATATTTTACTAACATACTTGTAGAACGTAACCGGTAGAGTTGAGGATAATTTGCAGTCAGTTAGCTGAAGTAGAAATACAATTACAGAGGGTCAGAGAGATAATACAGGAGTTAAAGCATATGCAAGGCAGGTAGCCAAAAACCCTGGTTTGATCCCTGGCACTGCATATGATTCTTCAAGTTTTGCAGGAGTTACCCTCAAGCAGAGAACCAAGAGTAAGCAAGACCTGAGTGTTGCCAAGTATGACCCCCTACATTACCCAAAATATAGATAACTGTAACATGCAGAATTGGTTTTTCGAAGTTGTTAGTGCAAATGTAGTCATATTATATTTTTGAAATATAAATTACCACATATTTGTAAATGACAGGTAATATTCTTATTACACTTAATAGAGAAATATATTTTCTACCTCGGTAGGTAAGTAAATATTAATCGTGATTTTAAGAATTTGAGATCACTTTCTTTCATCTTCGAGATGCATGACAAATAAGTTCAAGAATATTTAGTTTTCATTTTTACAAAGTCTAAAGTTTTTAATTTTCTTTATAGAATAATAAAAATGACAATTTTCCTCTTAGGATAGAAATCATTAGGTTGTCAAAATTGTCATGAAAATATTAGGCTTAAAAAATTTCAAAACATCATCCTGTCTTAGAGTCACATTATTGAATCAAAACACAAACTCCGTGGTTTCAGCCATCCTATTTACTAATGCCTAGGAAATATTTTGTAGGCAGGTGCTTGTTATGTGCCTGGTCCTAGTTTATTGTTCTCTTGTGATGAAGAATAAGATTAGTAGGCTAGAGAGATAGTACAGCAGGTGCTTATCTTACACACAGCCATCCCAGGTTTGATCCCTAGCACCCTATATGATCCCCTGAGTCCCTCATGAGTGATCCCTGAGCACAGAACCAGGAGTAAGTCCTGTGCACTGCTGAGTGTGGCCCCAAAACAAAACCAACCAACAACAGCATAAAGATTAGTGACTATAGATATTGTGTGGAAATATTTTACCAAGAGTCTTGACTTTTTGATTTATGAGTATATATAACATAAGGGTTGCTACTTCCACATTTTGACAAATGAATGAAGTTATAATTAGAGTTATACAGAGCTTAAAATATCAGTACATGAGTTATTTTTAAGCTGAAATCTCAATAATGGGGTGGGGTTTTATTTTGTTGTTTGTTTTGTTTTGTTTGTATTTGGGACACACCCAGAGGTATTGAGGAATTACTCCAAGCTCTGTATTCTGGAATTACTTCTCGCTAGCTTGGGGAACTATATGGGGTGCTGTCGAACCCAGGTTGTCTCTGTGCAAAGCAAGCGCCCTATGCACTATAGTGTTGCTCCGGCCTGCAATAATGTTTTAATTTAGTGAAATGGAGGAATGTATTTTTTATATAATTTTTATTTTTTTTTTGTTTTATTTCTTTTTGCGGGGGAGGGGGTGCACACCCAGCAGTGCTCAGGGCATACTCCTGGTTCTGCACTCAGGAATCACTTACTGCTGTTGCGTGGGGGAACCTATGGGATGCCACGGATTGAACCCAGATCCATTCATTGCGTGCAAGGCAGGCACCTTTCCCACTGTACTATCACTCTGGCCCTAGAAATGTATTTTTGTAAGTTAATATCCAAACCTGGATTGTATTCTGTATAAGTAGTATAAACAGGTTTTCTCTTTAATTGAAATTAACATTTCAGTATCAGAGAAGTGGTGCAGAACTTGCCATCCCTTCAGCTAAATGTAAATTTTAAGTAACCTCATTTTTGTCCTAAAAAGATGTCATTTAGAGGTATGCAGTTTTCATTAGATGGTCATCTAATGAAAGACATTAGATTGTGGAATGACAATTAGAAATGACATTTAGAAAATTGTGAAATGACAATTTGAAATGACAATTAGAAATGACATTTAGAAATGACAATTAGACATTAGATAATGAAAGACATTAGCTTGTGAAGACAAAAAAGGAGAGAATACTATTCCCCTTGCCTTATCCCTTACACAAAGTCCAAAATGATGAGTGATAGTGGAAGGCAAGAATCAAGAAAAGTTTATTATTCCTTTTTCCACTGATAATAATGCCTGGAAGTTCATCAGTGCTATACTTACCAAATAGATCTTTTAAGCTTTACTCTGAGAACCAGAGATACTGAACTTTCATTGGTAGACTGTAGCTTCAGAACGTTGCCTCAGTACTCATGTACTGAAGGATATACTTTTAAGCTCATATTTATTAAGTATATATATTTTGAACACCTGCACTCTGCTGACACTTTTTTTAAAAGCCCCACAAAATAAAGAGGGCAGTGAGATAGTGCTGCAGCTAAGGCACTCGCTTTGCTTGTGGTGACCTGGGTTCAATCCCCAGTACCACATACAGTCTCCAGAGCAGTGGCAGGAATGATCCTTGAACACAAAGCCAAGTGTAAGCTCTAAGAACCACCTAGTGAGACCCAAAACTAAATTAGAAAGCCACATAAAAATTTCAGAAGTAAAATGGCAAGACAATTCCATCTATTTTCACAATGTTAAATAGTCTTAATTCTGAAATCCTCTCCCCTCACCACACCCCCCACTTCCAGTAGCCTGGAGTTTAGGAATGCCTTTCCAGGTCTTCTGGAAACACTTTGGATATCCAAGAATGTCATAAAGATAATTTTTGTAATAGAGAAAGCCCCTCCACCTCTTCTTGGCCGCCAGCAGGTGGGTTACATATAGAATTACATTTAATTTTTTTTGTTGTTATTTTGAATATTTCCAGAACACATTTACAGGGAAAGTGTTAAGCTACTATAAAAGCAGTAGTTTCCAGATGGCCTTAGAAAACTGTCAGTGAGAATGTTTACAGATCCTAAGTACGAGTGTCTGACCAAATAAACTTAAAAGGTAAAACAAAATTCATTAGATTTAGAAATTAGTTTAGAGTATCTTTAACCCCAGTTTTCCATATTTAAAATGATAAACTTTTATTATGTGCCAAATATATTTTCGACATAGCCAAATATATATATATATATATTAAAAATATTTTGGGGTCAGCACTAGTACTTGCAGGAGAGAAGCTTGCCTGCATGTGGCTGACCCAGATTTGATTCCAGCACCCCACCTGGTCCCCTGAACCCAACCAGGAGTCACCCTTGAGCACAGAGCCAGGAGCACCTCTGGAAATGGCTCTCCCCCCAATAAATAATTAAAATATTTTTGTCATTTAATGTTTTTAATGCTAGTAGGACTACCTCCTTTTTGGGTAACCAAGGAGAAGTGGGAGTGGATGTCAGTTCATAGAGTTCATACATGTCAACAGAGCTATTTTACTATAATTAGCTTGCATGTCTGATTATTTTAGTCAGTGATTTTATACAGTAAAATTTCCTGAATATTAAGCTGTGAAATGTATCTTTTATCTAGTTTTTATAGCACAAAATAACATACTGACTACTTTTCTTAAATTCACATTCATAATTTATTTGCATGTTAACCTGATTAGACAAGCCTAAACCAAATGTGTTATGTGTAATAGGATTGAGCCTTTATATATTATCTAATGGATTAAAATTTTTTTTAGATATTTAAAATGTTTAGGTTCATGAATAAATCAAATGTTTAAAAGATGACTATACTTTAAGTTTTGAGTAATATTGGTTATATCATTCCTACTGTTTGATCCTTACCTTCTTTTGCAGTGTTTTTAGAAAACAGCTATGTAACTTATTGAGCATTTTTCATGTATAAATGTGCATAATAAATATTAAATTCTTATTTGCCTTCTGTTTTAATATTGGTCCTAAAGTATTTGCAGTGCATATTAATGACAGGATATTTTATTTGTCAACACGTTGTTTACTTTGCTATATCTAAAATATATTTCATATTTTAGAACAAAGTATCTTTTTATGGGCCAGTTTTCTTATATATAATATATACATAAATGTTATTATATATATGTAAAATAAAATATATCATTTTTAAGGTCCAGGGTTGTGACTCAGTGGTTGCCCTGCGTTTAATCATCCCTGGCACAAACAAAAGCCAAAAAAAATATACCTTTATCATTTTTACTATTTTAGTGAATGACATTAAGAACATTCACAGTTGTACAACCATCATCATCTTTGTAATCCCAAATTAAAACTCTCCCAGCTGTTTAATAACTCAATTTCCCTCTTTTAGCAACTATTATTTGTCTCCTGTGAATGCATCTATCTTTGTGAAATTAGACAATTTCTATTCTCTTATACATGCAGTTTAAATCTAATTAAAGAGTCAACATGAGGGACTTAAGCAACAAACTGTTCAACTTACACCCATTGGTCCTGGGCTTGATCTCTCCAACAGTGCATATGATTCCCAAGCACCACCTGCCAAAAGTGAGCACAGAGCCAGGAGTAATCTCAGAGCACAATTGATGTGGCACCCAAGCCCCCTTCCATATTCCCCATAAAGCAAAGAGTCAACATAACATCTTCAGATCATAACATCATAGAGATACAATAAACATATACTATACCTAGCTGATACATCATGATGATAAATGGAAATGGCAATGCAACACTCTGGTATGTCTGGGTATGTATATATATATATGTGTGTGTGTGTGTGTGTGTATGTGTGAGTACATGTATATGTGTATATATATATATAAATATACATATATATATATGCTGGGCGGGCTGGAGCGATAGCAGAGCGGGTAGGGCGTTCGCCTTACAAGCGGCCAACATGGCCGACCCGAGTTCGTTTCCTCCGCCCCTCTCGGAGAGCCCGGCAAGCTACTGAGAGTATTCGATATGCCAGACACAGTAACAACA